GAATTTTTTTTTTAACGTCTCGAGCAAAAACAATATAGGTTTCAATGGCACCTGATACATCATTTTAAAGCTTTTGAGTTTACACACGCAACCGTCACGTTTTGGTGAGTGACGGGCGCTGACGCGTCCGTCACGCACCGCCACCATTTGTTTTCACCATTGTGAAAGCAATAGGCCCTTACCCCGTTCGGGGCTCGGGCCTAATAAAAAAGGAATTTTTTTGTTAACGTCTCGAGCAAAAACAATATAGGTTTCAATGGCATGTGATACATCATTTTAAAGCTTTTGAGTTTACGCATGCAACCGTCACATTTTGGTGAGTGACGGGCGCTGACGCGTCCGTCACGCACCGCCACCATTTGTTTTCACCATTGTGAAAGCAATAGGCCCTTACCCCGTTCGGGGCTCGGGCCTAAATAAATAAATAAAAAAGGATTTTTTTTTTCGACGTCTCGAGCAAAAACAATATAGGTTTCAATGGCACGTGATACATCATTTTAAAGCTTTTGAGTTTACGCACGCAACCGTCACGTTTTGGTGAGTGACGGGCGCTGACGCGTCCGTCACGCACCGCCACCATTTGTTTTCACCATTGTGAAAGCAATAGGCCCTTACCCCGTTCGGGGCTCGGGCCTAATAAATAAAAAAGGAATTTTTTGTGACTTGTCTCGAGCAAAAACAATATAGGTTTCAATGGCATGTGATTCATCATTTTAAAGCTTTTGAGTTTACGCACGCAACTGTCACGTTTTGGTGAGTGACGGGCGCTGACGCGTCCGTCACGCACCGCCACCATTTGTTTTCACCATTGTGAAAGCAATAGGCCCTTACCCCGTTCGGGGCTCGGGCCTAAAAAGGAATTTTTTTGTTAACGTCTTGAGCAAAAACAATATAGGTTTCAATGGCACGTGATACATCATTTTAAAGCTTTTGAGTTTACGCACGCAACCGTCACGTTTTGGTGAGTGACGGGCGCTGACGCGTCCGTCACGCACCGCCACCATTTGTTTTCACCATTGTGAAAGCAATAGGCCCTTACCCCGTTCGGGGCTCGGGCCTAATAAATAAATAAATAAAAAAGGAATTTTTTGTGACTTGTCTCGAGCAAAAACAATATAGGTTTCAATGGCATGTGATTCATCATTTTAAAGCTTTTGAGTTTACGCACGCAACTGTCACGTTTTGGTGAGTGACGGGCGCTGACGCGTCCGTCACGCACCGCCACAATTTGTTTTCACCATTGTGAAAGCAATAGGCCCTTACCCCGTTCGGGGCTCGGGCCTAATAAATAAATAAATAAAAAAGGAATTTTTTTTTCGACGTCTCGAGCAAAAACAATATAGGTTTCAATGGCACCTGATACATCATTTTAAAGCTTTTGAGTTTACGCATGCAACCGTCACGTTTTGGTGAGTGACGGGCACTGACGCGTCCGTCACGCACCGCCACCATTTGTTTTCACCATTGTGAAAGCAATAGGCCCTTACCCCGTTCGGGGCTCGGGCCTAATGAATATGATAAGTAGAGCTGGTTTGGCTCCCCATGTCAATTTTGACTCAGTCTGAAGGGGGCGCTAATGGGCCATTTCAAATATTTCACTTTCACCTGACCTAAACCCTGGAGTTGAACATTGGATTCAAGTTTTGTGCAAATCAGACTGTGTTTGTGCAAACGGGAAAAAAAATTATGTTGTCAAAAACGGCAAAAAAAACCCTCACATTTTGCCGCTCCGCTGCTCAAACAACGTATCTCTGATCAAAATTCCCTGAAGTCATTTTGAAGGTAAATGTGTTGAGATGATTTGGATCAATTTTGAGGCCAATCGGTGAAACGGCCGAGGATGAGTCGCTTTCCAACCGACGTGTATGAAAATGATTGGTTTTCATTTTTCCATTTTGCAATGAAATTTATGGGCTTCCTGTTTGTCAGAGGGCTTAGCCATATTAAAATGTTTCCATGTCTTGACTTGACGAACAAGTGTTCCAAATTACATGGTTCTACGATAATTTTGACCTCGAACCCCTCCCATAGGCATTTTTGAATTGGCTGTTGTAGGTGGCGCTATAGAGCCAATTTCAAAATTTTAACTTTCAAATGACCTAGACCTAAGAGTTGAACCATGGATTCAGGCCCTTTCCCCGTTCGGGGCTCGGGCCTAATAATAACCCCCATGGGATTTTTCGGAGGTCAAGTTTGTCGTAGAGCCATGAAATTTTACACATGTTCCTCAAGTCAAGACATGAAAAAAAATTTATTATGGCCCCGCCCTCTGACATACAGGAAGCCCATAAATTTCACTGCAAAATGGAAAAATGGACAGCAATCATTTTCATACATGTCGGTTGGAAAGCGATTCCTCCTCGGCCGTTTCACCGATTCGCCTCAAAATCGCTCCACATCATCTCAACACATGTACCTTGAAAATGACTTCGGCGATTTTTCATCAGTGAAACGTTGTTCGAACAGGGGAGCTGCAAATTGTGACCTTTTTTTGGCCGTTTTGGACAATATTAAATTTGCTCCCGTTTGCACATACAAAGTCTGATTTGCACAAAACTTTAATACATTGTTTAACTCTAGGGTCTAGGTCAATTAAAAGTGAAATAAAAGAACTTGGCTCATTAGTGCCCCTACAGATGGAGTCAAAGTTTTCAGAGTTTTTCATACTAAAAACTCTGAAATAGTCTGTAGGGGGCGCTAATGTGTCAATCTGAATCATTTCACTTCCAAATGACCTAAACCCTAGAGTTGAACAACGTATTAAAGTTTTGTGCAAATCGGAATTTGTATGTGTAAACGGGAGCAAATAGAAGGTTGTGAAAAACGGCCAATAAACGCTCACATTTTGCCGCTCCGCTGCTCAAACAGCGTTTCACTGATCAAAAATCCCTGAGGTCATTTTGATGGTACATGTGTTTAGACAATGTGGAGTGATATGGAGGCCAATCGGTGAAACGGCCGAGGAGGAGTCGCTTTCCAACCGACATGTATGAAAACTTTTGCTGTTCATTTTTCCATTTTGCAGTGAAATTTATGGGCCTCCTGTTTGTCAGAGGGCGGAGCCATGGTAACATTTCGGTCGTATCTTGACTTGAGGAACATGTTTACCGAATTTCATGGCTCTACGACAAACTTGACCTCTGAAACTCCCATTGGCTGTTGTAGGTGGCGCTGTTCTGGCATTTTTTGAGTCCCATAAAAATAAACACCCAAATATCAAATTTTTCACCAGGTCTGATGTTTGGGCAAAATTTTACAACTTTTCATGCATGTTCAGGGGGTGAAATTAAGGCTCAAAGTGCAGAATTTGACATCTCTCGAGCAAAAACAATAGGCCCTTTCCCCGTTCGGGGCTCGGGCCTAATAAGGATTTTTTTTTTTAAATCTTCGAGCAAAAACAATATAGGTTTCCATAGTAACCTATAATACAAATGATACGTCGTTTTAAAGCGAACGACGAGGCGAACGCAACTATTGGGTTCTCGGTGATTGACGAGCGCTCACGCGCTCGTCAATCACCTCGCCATCATGAGGTCACCCACCCCCCCATAGGACCCCATTGATTACACAGTGTACTACAGCAGGAGCAAAGCCATTCAGTGCCTCCGGCACTGTTTTGTCAGTGTCTGGGCACGCGCCGTCGGGCTTGGGGGACGAATGTCCGGGCTTCGCCCGGACATTCGTCCGTAAAACAGTTGAAGGAACCCCCCCTTTAATAGGACTTCAATCATTTCACTGTGTACTAAAGCAGGAGCAAAGCCATTCCGTGCCTCTGGCACGGATTTATCAGTGTCTGGGCACGCGCCGTCGGGCGAACGCAACTATTGGGTTCTCGGTGATTGACGAGCGCTCACGCGAAAAGCAATAGGCCCTTACCCCGGTTGGGGCTCGGGCCTAATTAGATTTTTTTTTATCCTTCCAATTCTTGAATATAGCGGCGGTCCGGATCAAATGGCTCGGTGGGCCAGATTCTGCCCGCGGTCCGCCAGTTAATGGTCTATCGAGCAGTGAACTACTGACTACTTTTTAAACATTTCTCATAATCAGTAACGGTAAAGGTCTAATTACCGTGAACTCTTTCAAACAAAAACAAATGGAGAGCAACAAGATGGAATACAGTTTTTGTATGTGTTTATTATATGGTAAGAGTGTTTGTAAGAATAGAAATTAAATAGTAATAGAAATTGTATGAATGTAAATGTTTATATTAATAGTAAAATGTTACAATATTAATGATACAAATGTTTTTATAACAGCATTGACGTAACAATTCTAAACTGCCAATGATAAATAATATTAACAATAGTGATCATAAGGAATGTCGTCACATGGATTGGTGACTGGTGCTGTTCAGTATTTGAGGATTGCTGTTGTCATTTTGATTTTCATCTACTTTTTTCACTATTATGTATCAGCGATGGTGATTGATGAGATCCATATAATAACAAGAACCCACACTCATGTAAACTATGTCTTTTATTGTTTATGTCATGTTTAGTAATCATAATAACATAGTTTCATCCATTTGGCTAGCAGAAAACAAACCCATGTTAATTTGATGGATAAAGTCGCTCAAAACAAACCAAGAGACCAATGGCCCTGGGACAGTGCTGCAGCCCATGGAGGTACTCTACTTGGGGGCATCCTAAAACACTTCTTTTTTTAAGCATTACTTTCCAATAGTAACCCTATTGGAAAGTTATAATATCTAACTTGCCAGTGTTTGTATCAATGAATTATCCAGAATTATAAATCAGAAATGACAGCTTTTTAACTTCATCATAAAACCTTGATCATGAGTCCACTTGTGAATGTAATTTTCAAAGAACAGATTGAATATTTAACATTGTTGGGATGTGGCTTTTTTCAATGCTCCATGCAAATCATATTGAAGAAAATTATCTGTAAAAGAAAGCAGCAAAACAAAGCTGACAAATCTTTGCCTTATCTTTACTCAAGTATCCTTTCCTTTCATTTTATAATCATACTTACCGAAGGATTCACCCATTAATATTCATCACTGTAGAAAATATTTTGATAAATTTACAAGAAATGTCTCACTCAATAGTGTTGTGCTCTGCAGGAAGGGTATACTTACTCATATCGACACCTCCCGGGCATGGAACTGCAAAATGCACATTTACGTTTAAATTGTTTAATGTTTGATCCGTATTTTGTTATAATTATGCTCCAACAATCCCCAATACTTACCCGAGTAGGTCCTTTCTTGGCAGAAATCTGTTTTTGTTCCATCAGGGAGAACTGGAGACACCAGCACGGTGTAGACATTTCCACAAGTGTTTTCCATAATGTCACAGTACCTACTACCAGGAGTAGCCACACAGCTGAGGTTTGCACTTTGTTCTGTTAACTCAACGCTGTGGTTGTAGATTTGTGGGCCCAAAGACCGCCAGGACACTCTTAAATTGGCACTGTTTGGTAGACGTTGAATCTTGATGTTTGTTGGACAGCACGGACCTGCAAAAGGATGGGAACGGGACCAAAACAGATATTGATCGAGCTGTAGTACTAGCGTTGATTTGTTTGGAACATTCAACGTGTGAATGGCTCACTTGATGAGAATCCTTTGTAGTGGCACTCAGACATGTGTCCCGTACTGCTGATGGCCTCAATACTGACGCTGTAGTTGGTGCCACAGGTGATGCAGCCCATAAGGCAGCTGTCGTCCACCGTGTGGCACTTGGCATCTCCTCGCCGTGAGAGTAAACTGGTGACGAATGACCGTGCGCCAGTTGCAGGAGTCCAGCTCACATTGGTCATAGCCAGAGTCACTTGTGTGACCACAACATTCTGAGGACAGCATGGCCCTGTACAAATGATATGAGATAGTTACCGAGACTGACACTTTACTTTCTCAGCATTTACCAGCACTTATTCCTCTAAGTTACCTGTCTCCAGTATTTTCTCATAACCAGGAATACTTTTTCCAGCAACGTTTGATTCAGCCACTCCCAGGACCTTGAAGACTGTCCCACAGGGCAGGTTTGTCAGCTCGCATGAGTTCCCTGTGCTTCTACAAACACGGGGAGCTGTTCCAGAGGCAGAGGCTGTGATAATGTAGGTTGTGCCTTCTCTGTTCGGGGTGCTGAAGTAGACACTGTATCTGGTGGTGTTCATTTGTGTGATATTAACGATTACTGGAGGACACGGGGCTGGAATAGGATGCAGTTATTATTAACAATCCTCTTCATATTACATTTGAAATTGTTTTGTACCTGTTTGTTGGGTGTGTGCCTTGCAAGTTGTGTTGCATCCTCGCAGTTCGTTACATGGTGTGACCTTGATGGAGTATGTGGAATCACATTCCAAATCAGACAGTGCACAAATGGTCTCCGTGTCATTACAGTGGATGGTCTCCGTCTCTTCAGCAGTGACTTGGTACAGCTCAGCTCCGCTCACTTCTGACCACTCAATCTCCACAGTCTCAGAGGACACCAACGTGACATTCACTGTCTCTGGACAACAAGGAACTGGGGGCAAACAGAGAAAGCATTATATCAAGATTTATCATACAATCATCATGTTTTACATTTATTAAAGTAGGGTTTTGTGACCTACCAATGTTGGTACCATCAATCTAAACAAAGGGGGGCAATCTAAAAATCTCTTTGAATATAATATAAAATTGTAGTATTATTTTAAAATGGTACCACTAGGTTTTACTGTTATAGTTAAGTTACACTTTAACAGGGAAAATTGTCCTCTATATTTGACTCATCCTTGAAAGATAGAGGCCCTAGGCCTCTATCTGGAGCTGTGGTCGCTGTAGAACAACGCCCAGGGACCAGATGTCCAGATGTTGACGCTCAACATGGTCAGGACCAGAGCTGGAGAATTTTCCCTATTGCAAATGTTTTTAGCTGTAGGGGAATCTGGCACACCCAGAGGAAACCTAACTCCACACAGAAAGTCCCTATTCTGACTGGGATTCGAACCCTGGACCTTTTTACTGAGAAGCAAGAGTTCTAAACATTGTGCCACCGGGCCGTTTTATACTAGTTCTGAGATCAAAACCATTCAATAACTTTTGTCCTGTTTGTGATTTTTTTTTCTATAATGATACTCTTTGAAAACATATTTGAAACCTGACAGTCCTAGAGAGTCCTGCAGCCCCAGATCTATTAAAGCCGTTGGAAATGTGTGAAGCTCCTACGCGTGGTGTAGTTGAGCAGCTCGATCACAGGGCTTCCTCCCACTGAGTTGTGAGGGACCACGATGGCGATGAAGGTGTGGCCACATGAGCAGTTGAAAGGGCAGCTGGTGACGGTGGTGTTGCACGACTCCTCTTTGCCGTCGTTTCCTTTCACATAAACCAAGTAAAATTCTGCTAAATAAACGTTGTCCCACCGGATGGAGCAGTTGCCAGGCTCGTACTCTTCCACTCTGGTGTTATTTGCAGGGCAGGGATCTATCAAAAACAAACATTATTAGTGTGATTTACTGTGTTTTATATTCATGATTAGTGTGTTTTATGGTGCACTGTACAATCGTCTCCCGGTTATGTTTCTAAAATTGTGCTTGTCATGTATTTTTATTTGTTATTTTCTCTACTGTCTGTCTATTTCTAGGGACAAGTGCTGCGAATTAGATTTGGCTATAGGCAGCATGATGCATACATCAGACTGCTGTATGACAGATTATCTGAGTATTCTGTACCTGTCCCTTCTCAAATACACCAAATAGCAAAAATAATTAAAAAAGAAAAAAAATGCCAGCAGTGTAGCAATTCTTCATCCACAACAATGAAGTTATTAACTCTTATCTATAATTTTGACATTTGAAATTACATAATTCCACCAGAACTTTGTTTTCATAAATAAATAATTCCAATTACATTACCCCAAGTCTAGTGTACTCAAGTCAGACCGCTCCATGCTGATTGGCTGAGTGAGGGTGGTTGTCTCTTTTTAAATTTTCTGTCTGAAAATGTTGATCTAAAGATGTGGCAGACCCAAACCCAAAAAATAGATTCATGTAAACAAGTGATAGAACCTGTGAACTATTGTGAGAATGAGGGGCTATTTACATGGACTTAAATACATGGTTAAATTGTTTGTGGTTTGAAGTACCCCACATTTATTTCTTTATACATAGTACCAATTTCAAGAAATGTTACATATATTATTTTCATTTTTATGCCTTATTCTATTTTTTTATTTGTAACTTGTTTGCACCGAGAGCCAAAGCAATTTCCTTGATTGTGACTTGTTGTTACTCATAATGGCAATACAGAGATTTCCGATTCTGATTCTAATGTTATATACCCACATGTGAGATACTCTCCTGGCAGTGAGGGGCTACTGGGTCCAGCAGAGTTGTAGGCCGTCACCGTTAGCGATTGCTTCTGACCACACTCGACTGGCCCAATGTAGCAGGAACTGTACACCGTGTGGTTGCATGTTTGGTTGTTGGTGCTCCATACAGTGTAGGTAGTGGCTCCTTGTTGCGCTCCCCAGTACACCAGCATACCCGTTCGGCCCGAGTTGACCAGCACGTTCGGCGCATCAGGGGTGGCTGGGCCTGTGGACAAAACACCAGTCACGAACAATGTGGTTTTGTGCTAATGGTTGAAATGAGTGCGTTACGTGTGATCTGGACAAATGTTTGGTCATCTCCAGGTCGCCCGTCGGCATCCTGTGCCTGTGCCTTTATGTTGTAGTTAGTTCCTGGTTGGAGGTTGTTCAACTCCAGTGTTGTTTTGTTGGCGCTTATGTCCATGCGGATATTGGTTCCTTCTTGGATGATTACAAACGTGTAAAGGTCAGCATGGTCCACGGGGTCCCACGAAGCCAAAATGGAGGTACTTGTCGGAGATGAGATATTCAAATTTGGTGCTACAATTACTGCAAACACACACACACAAAAATTCAAAATGTAACTTATTCTGACTTAGTGTTGTAACCATCTGATTATGTTACACTGAGATCTCCTCTGGGATTTGCATCAACCTAGTTCTCAAGCGATCTCTTTTCATAATATCATAACACAGTACAGCGAGAATGGATCAAGTTTCCACCCTTGTGTGTTTTCTGCACAGAGGAGACATGAAGTGACAATAGGCACGAAAACAATATGCCATGATTGCCACCAGAGAAGTCGTCTTAAGTCAACTGCACCTGTTTTCAGTTAGTGTACAACTAGCGTCGAGTCAAGTTGAAGTAAAAAAAAAAAAAGGGAAAGAAAATGAATTGTGGTATAATATTAAATGAAAGGAATGGGCCCTCATACCTGTTCTCTGGTCAGTTGGATAAGAAGGTTGGCTACGCCCCACTGCATTCTCAGACATGATGCTGATTTTGTACTCTGTGAAAGGCTGGAGACCCTCTATTGTGCCCGGGGAGCCCGACACTCGAGCTTCAGAGAAGAAGAAATCACCCACCAATAGCTGGGACTCTGCCCTCAAGATGTAGGCAGTTGCTCCGGTGACCTCTGGGAACTCCACTGTGATGCTTTGACTTGATTTAGAGTAGGTTGTGCTAATAACCGGAATTTCAGGAGCTAAAAAATAATGCATTTTTAGATTGTCTTTTAACAAACAACTGACGCGTGAGAGAGGTGGAACTGACCTGTAGAGGTGTCAGTTTCAGCGCTGGCGAGGACAGTCATCAGCTCGTCCATGGCCTCTATCTTCACGGTGTACTGTGTGTTTGGGGAAAGGGAAATGATCGAGCCCAGAATTGTATTCTGATCAAACTGAACGAAGACTTGTCCTTGGGGGGAGTTCTTTGGTGTTGCCTCTAGCTTATAGAAGCTTGCTCCTGGGACCTTAGTCCATTTCAGCGTCAATGATTTAGAGGTAACTGTATAAACTGACAGTGTCATATCTAGAGTTCAAACAAACAAAAAATATTAGTTATCTGTGAAGTCTAATCACTAATTTCTAATATTCAAAGGATATAAGTCAGGGCTGGATTCTCAAAATATTCTTTACAGAAATTAGACAGATCATTTTACATATATGATCATTAAAGCATACATATTTATAAACCAAAGAAACACATAAATATCACCTGGTTTAATTTTGTAATTATTAAAGTGTTTTTGTTTCTGTTGTTTTCCTATTAAGTTTAACCTCAATCAATATTACATATTTTTACACAGTATAAACTGCCCGTTTTTTACATTAAAAAAATAGGTTTCCACAAATATAAACATCTTTTTTCTTACCATTTTGAGCTGCACATATCTGTAAGAACAAAATATACCCATATTAGTTATAGAAATGAAAGATGAAGAAACAGTACAGTCTTCTTTATACAGGTTTCTCTGTTTTATTTCCTGGAGCTACTTGGCCACAGGATCAGGTTCACAAAAATGGCTGTAGGCCATTACAGTCACTCATCACAGACCTGAGCCTGAGATTCAGGCTACAGGGATTCACAGTATTCACTGCATTTGACCAATGATGAAGACATTAGTATTCCAGTCAAAACTATAGTCTGTGTCTCTCATTTTGAGTTAGTGTGACTTCAGATTCATATTGTACAACAACAAGCACATTTTAATTCTTAGTTAATTATCTCTTACCTCCACAACAGTCACCAAAAGTAAAATCGGCAGCAGTATCGCGTGCCCCGTCCCCATGTTTCTCTGCTTCCTTAAGGCTAGTCGAGTGAAAATGACTTGAGGGAAGAAACTGGCATAAAATATAACTCTTCCCCCCTGCCTCTTTCCTTCCTGTCTTATAGATATCCCCACAGGTGCTTTATTGTTTGAGCAAATACCAAAGAGCCCAAATGCTGTAACCCCTCCCCTTAGGGCTGTAGGTATCCCATCACCGCAGATACTGTAGATTATGCCCTTAACTATAGGTGAGTATAGTGCTGTTTCCTCTCTTCATGTACATACTGCTAATGTTTAAACTGTGCTGTATGTTTGATTTATATGTATTCAGTAAATATTCATCAAATACAAAGTAAACAGCATGATTGTTGGGAAATAGGCAGACTCACGTTTCACTCTAACAAAAGATGACCTGTTTTGAGATGGGTGTTAGTGACGTTTTATGACCCGTTTAAGTTTTTGTTTTCCCACTATTTGATATGGTCTGTATTGAACACCATCGTGATCAGAGAATGAAGGAAACCCTTATCTTATGAAATATCACTTGTCCTCAGGTCATTCTGGAAAACTGAATTCTTCAAACAGTATATACAGTACATATATTTATAAATCACTTTCAAGGCCCACTGTTAACATGTATAGGCACAGTCACTGCCCTGTTGTGACAACCTTAGACTTTATTTTAAAACAATACAATACAATTTATTCTTGCATAGCCCTAAATCACAACAGCAGTCATCTCAGTGGACTTAAAACCATTGAAATCACCAACACAGATCAGAGAAACAACACAAGAAACACACATATAAATTGGTCCTTAGGGAGGGACCAATGTAAGATAAAGATTAGATAAGATATACTTTATTGATCTCACACCAGAGTAATTTACATGTCACATCTGGCATGGATAGAAACAGTCAAGATTGTGCAAAAAGAAAGAAATGTGCAAACATGTTAAATGCAGGATACAATAAAAGTGGCAATTAAAGTGTCCATGACTGTTGATAAATGTCCATACATGTAGAATGTTAAAGTGTCTCTAATCTCACCGGGTCAAATATACCAGCCATAATGTTTTTGTGCATCTGAACGGATTTTCTGATGTGTTGTTCGTATAAATGTAAGATTTTATTTATTTATTTTAAAGAGAGAGAGAAATGTTTTTTAAATAATGAGATGTAGTGTATAGTTAACGGAGCTACACCTTTTTTTCCTTGATGCAACATTTATTCACTAGGAACGAGACCATAATAAAGGTTAACCACACTTTCTGAAGGGGCCACATGGACGCCACCTATAGTGCTGTCTCAAGGTCAAGAAACGTTACATATTGCTATGTTGTTGTTGTTTTTTCTGTTGGTTAAATAAAATAAAGTTTAAAAAGTCCACTTCTCTCCTTGTAGCTTTATATGTAAATATTTTAGTGCTGTCCAACGATTAAAATATTTAATCGCAATTAATCGCATGAATTTCATAGTTAACTCGCGATTAATCGCAAATTAGTCACACATTTGCGTGCTGTGTGCAATTGCTTTTTTTTTTATTGAAAACAAGAATTTCATAGTTAACTCGCGATTAATCGCAAATTAGTCACACATTTGCGTGCTGTGTGCAATTGCTTTTTTTTTATTGAAAACAAGGTGTAGTGTTATATTACACACTAACATTTGATGCAAAATCATCAATAAATGGATGACAAAATAAATAATTGGTAACAAAAAGCCCCTTCAATGTGTGTGTGTGGGTGTGTGTGTGTATGTGTGGGTATAGACCATAGACTGTATAGAAACATCATGGTGTCATTATGATGATGATAAACAATCTGTAAATATTTTGTAAATTTGTTCATGTGAATACTCTATGCTGTTTCTGTTTACCTTCGGTATATCTATGACTGTATACTGTTTGCTTGTATTGCCTTTTTTATTAACCCCTCCCCCCATCTCCCACTTCATGCCCCCCCCCCCCCCCCCCCCCCCTCCTATGTGCCCTTCTGGGTTTCTTCTTTGGCCCCCTGTATCTCCAACTACATATTGTTTGTAATCTCTGTCTACAATGTATCTGAACTAGTCCTTTTCTTTGTTTCTATTTTTTTTTCTGTATGTGTTTGTCTGCAATAAAAAGTAAAAAAAAATTTTAATCGCGCGATAAAAAAAATGACGGCGTTAATATTGATTTGCGTTAACGCGTTAATAACGCGCTATTTTGGACAGCCCTAAAATATTTATGATATAAGTGTACAGTGTGTGTGTTTTTGTGTGTGCTGTATTGTGTATTGTAAATGGTGGTTAAAAATTCTTTTGAATGAGGAACAGCTTCTACTATTAGATAATATAACATTTACCCGGTTAGACAAGATAACTTATCGCTTATCTGCCTGGTATGGGATGTTCACATGACCTCTGTCTGCAGCAAGATCCAAAAACTTTTTGGAGTTGAACAGGAAATAATTACCATATTTTATCATGTTGTGATCAAAAGTTTACTAAGATTTGCTATGTGTGTCTGGGTTAGTGTTTTGATTGTTATAAAAACATCATATCTTTACAGGATAGTGCGTATACTGTACCACTAAACGTAAAGGGGGTAAGAGAGCTTCATCGCGTGCTCTTTACTCCCAGTAAAATCCCATCCGGCTGCAAATATAGAGCTCCAACTGAAAATTATTCCTTAGATGTGAATCTCCTGAGCACAGGCCAGAGCAGAGCTGAGATCATTTATTTCTGTACTAGCGTATTGTATTCTATCCACTGTAAATGTTCATAGATGGCAGTCTGGATGCATTAGGGCGGCACAGTGGATAGCGCTCTCACTTCTCAGCAAGAAGGTCCTGGGTTCGAATCCCGGAAGGAACAGGGCCTTTGTGAGTGGAGTTTGCATGTTCTCCCCATGTCTGCGTAGGTTTCCTCCGGGTGCTCTGGTTTCCCCTACCACTAAAAACATGTACTAAAGGTCTGGCATGCGCCTCCGACTGGCGACCCCGCTCCCATCTCTGTGTGGAGTGAGAGATAAATGCCCTCAATTGTAAAACTGCTTTGTGACTCTGGTCTGTGAAAGGCGGTATATAAATAAAGATTACTACTTACTTACATTCAAACCCAAAGGTGTTACTCGATGTCACTGAATTTTATATGCTGTGTGTGTGTGTGTTTTAGGGATATTTTTACACATTTGACCACAACAAAGCTAAAATGATGGCCCTTGAACATCTTCATAGAGATGACTTGTAAACATAGGGTTGTTTTAAAATGATTGATCAAAACAGGTTGTAAACACGCATGCATGTAAGGTTGAAAGTGATTTTGAAACAATCCTTGTGGTTGGAGGGGTATGCGCTCTCCAAGTTAACATTCTGGTTAGAAATAACGAGTTTCTAACAAGAACTTGCTTCTACAACTTTTGATAATGTAAGACAAGTTGTAAAACATGTAAGAAAAAGCAAATCTTGTGTTTCAAAACTGTATGTAGAGGCAAAACCAGTCACATTTGAGGTCTGCACCTGCTGATACCGCACTCGAACAAACAAACAACACAGAAACTGGGTAAGAAGACACTGGCAGCCAGAGGCCAGCAGTCATCGTGCTGTAGGAGACATTCAATGAGCTTTATAGCTATAAGGAGAAAAGTTGATACTTAGAACAGTGGAGAACAAAAGGTATTTTCCTGAACTGTAAAATTACACCAGTCTGATCCAGCTTCATGTGATCTAACGGTATTGTTGTTAAGGGACACTGCTGATGGGCAGGCAAACATCTCTGAAGGCTGAGAAACAGGCTTTTGTGACAAATGTTTATGTCATTTGGGAAGAATTAAATACCAGAATCACATCAGGACATCTGCTTGAAATGAAACGGTGTTATGTGACCACTTACCAGGTGCTGGGATAGTTTCTCTTATATAATCCTTTTGAATTGGGGTTTCTGTTCTTACTGGAGTTAGAAAATGCACTAAATACCCATGATAATACACATAACATAAAGATCACAAATACACTACATAAACAGCACTTATACTGTACATATACTGTACATAGTGTACACATATACAGATGCTCCACTGGCTGTGATTATTCATGTGCAGTTTCTGAGGATTATGAGGTATGGATTAAAGATGCATAATTTCACCATAAAAATATATAACAAATAACATAAACTATGTGACATGGTTTGTTTGTTTTTAGAGTAAATGTCAGAAAAGGCCACATACAATTGGAATATGTTATATCAAGGAACACTGCTAAAAGATGGATTTATAAAAGATGTGTCCTCGAGACAAAAAGATTGTAAACGAATTATACTATAATGTTTTAATTGAGTTGTCGATTACAGATCATGGTACTTTCTTCCCTTATACAGTCTTTTCTGTTTTTCTTTGACCAAGTCAGCAGATAGACTTTTAGCCATCCGGTCAGTGGTCTTCTTCATCCTGTGGGCCGCCTCAAGAGCCTTGTCAAGAGTGCGGTGAATATCTTCTTCCTATTCATCAACAGATGCATTGTGACAATCATATGTTTTGAACTTTCTTTGAGAGCCATTTAATACCTTGTTTTGGCTGTGTTTTCTTGTTCTTCCTCCCCATTTTGAGGGTGCAGACAGAGGCGACACTGTGTGCTGAAAGAAAACGTTGCTGGGCAGGAGGGCGGTGTCTGATTGGGTCGATCTCTTACGGTTACAGGACGTGGGCTGAAGTGGATAGTCCCTCAGTTTATAACTGTAATGTAAATTACAAACTTCAATCAGAACAAAAGTAAGTTGTATTATTGTAAGTCATCTTTATGTATTTAGCAGTTTTCAAAAAGCAGAATCAAACCCAGGACACTAGCACTACCACCACCGTCCACCTACAGCATACATTTACATTTACCTTGCCGGTAAGCTGCTGGACGAGCCATAATTGACCTGCAGCAGTGGCTTTTGGATCGGTGTCGAGTAAATTGGAGATCTTTCTGTTAATCCTGTTGAGGACAAACTAGTTTAATGATTGTTCAAGGGCAAGTTTGCTTTGTATTTATATGTTTGATGTGTGTTATATTATAGTAAAACATAGTTTCCCCCCTGGACCCGTTGTAACTTTGGTACATTTTAGTATAGAAAATAAATGTAATGGACTTTCTGACCTCTGCTTGACAGTGCTACTCCTGGTGAGTGCAGCCCAGAATCAAAGTGCAGAAAGTCACTGCTTCTTCTGCCCTCTATAGGCGAATAATCAAACTGCATGTCTGAGATGGTTGTGTCGTCAGCCTCTATTACTGAAAATGAGCAGGTATCGGACATAGCACGAGTACGTTCAAATTAAAGATTGAAGAAGAACATGTAAATTGTACCTTTTCTTCTTCCAGGAACAATGGATGCAGACATCCATTCTAACTTGACTGGACTTGGGGGAAAGATTGCTCAGTGTTAGTCCAGAAGTAAAGGTTGTGAAAGTGTCTTGGATAATTTCATGAGACAGATGTGCACCTGTTTGGGGCTGACCTCCGGCTGGTTCTTGATCTTGACTTTGTCCCACGTTCATGTGTGTATTGTGAGGTGAGGTAGTCGAGCTTGTGGGCGAGATATGGCAGCTGAATGAGTCCTTCCTTCATGTCTTTTTTTAGTCTATATATTTCTGATTGCAAGGTTAGAAAGGCCTCACTGCTCATTCAGAGGAATAATACAAACAATTTAATGATTAATGTGTGTCTTGCAGCGAAGTGTTATTCAATCAATAATAAGACTCACTTGTTGCAGGAACAGGTTTGCATTGGACTTCCTCGTGTGTCCATTCTGCCCAGAGTAGGTGCAGATATTGACTCAGACATGTTCTGCTTGTGACCTGCAGAGCCCACAAAGGTCAGTTTTTCAATGAACATTAAATAAACGTAGTAGTGTCATATCATCATGCTGATAACATACAGTAGTAGTAATGTGAATATTGTGTATTGCAGATTCATCTATGATTTGTATACACATTGAGTATAGATGTATAGATAAGATATAGATATTTATAGATATCCTTCCTTTCCTTATGTTGTGTGCTCCTCTTTCCTGCTGTTCTGTAACTTGAGATGCAACACTGAAATTTCCCCACTGTGGGACGAATAGAGGACAACTCCATCATTGTGATATAAATTCACTTAATCACTCCAGAAAAGTAAGTCATCTTTTAATCACAGTATATGGCGCTTTACACAGCCCAGAGTCACAAAGCGCTTTGTCTCTCACTCCACACAGAGAGCGGGGTCACCATACAGGAGGCGCATGCCAGACCTCTTTCAATGGTAGAGGAAACCTATGCAGACACAGGGAGAACATGCAAACTGCACTCAGTAAGGCCCTGTTCCGACTGGAATTCAAACCCAGAATCTTCTTGCTGAGAAGCGAGAATGCTATCCACTCTTTGATTTCTTTGACTCCAGTAACTGAGGCTAAGAGCACAATGACTTATTAACAGAATATAGGAATTACCTTGCTCTGGAAATACAGTGTCTTTTGTGGTGCTCTCGACCCACTGCTGCACTGAATTTGAGGCACTGGACAGTTCTGACCTACGTGGAGATCTTTGGGCTTTAGTGACCGGCTCGATGGCGGTCCGCAGGTTCGAACATGAACCCTCGCTACCTGAGCTGCTTACAGGCTCCTTTTGAGAAGCAAAACTGAAAAATAGACAAATTATGATTATACCATGCATATTTGAATAACAGTACAGATACAGTAGTTTTGATAAAGTGATTGAAATGCAAGAATTGAAGGTATTGTTTCCTAATTTTCACCTTTCATTAAGACTTTGTCGAATAGAACCAGAGCCAGAATGATTCAGGTAAGAACTTCCAAATCCACTGTCTGTCTCTGGGATAATGTTTCCCTGTGTAATTTAAAACATAATTAGTTAACTCTGTGTTGCTATAGCTTTTGAACAGGAGTCATGTGTAACTGACCTGGGACACTGAGGTTTTGAGAAGTGACTTTGGAGCAATGTCACAGGCTTTGGAAGCTTCACTTGAACAAGACACATCCACAGATAAACTCACACAATTGTCCAGCTCAGATCCCGAGTGCAGTAGTCTGTCCTGTCTGCTGCAGGTTAAGGCAGAAAGAGAATACTGATTTAACAAACATGCTTTTAACTCCATGAACAACCATCTGACAATACCAACAGAAAACAGAAAAGAGAGATAAAACTTACCTAGTGCTAGTGACGGCTGGGCATTCTTCTGGACTGACATCAATGACATTGTAGGAAGCATGGATGTTACTGTCGCCAACCCCTTTTGTAAAAACTGTGTCTTCATTTTGTTGCTCCTTGTCTTCCACAGATGAAGTCCAAGCATTCTGAAACGTGTGCAGCGACCTGAGAACAAATAAACAGCCACTGTCCTTCACTGTGGAGCAACCTTACACCAGCAGTTCAGCTGAAACTGAATCTGGCTGCAGGAAGGCTCCGCACATTAGTCAATAAGCCATAGTGATTGTCATTAAAACATTATGTTAGCACTCAATTGAAACCATGTACAAAAGTGATACGCACCTCGAGATGCATACTTCTGTGTTTTTGGTATGTTCAGTCATTTTATCAGCTCTCCTCATTGCTGTGGTGTCTCCAATCTCACTGGCTCCAGTGGAAACAGATGAGCTTTGATCCTGAAAGTGTGGATCATTTTTTGTTATATTTTGAAAATTATGAAAATAATGCAACAACCTATTTATACACTCATTATTGTTGGTTGTGTGACGCCATTTACTGTAAAATAAAATTGACAACAAAAACTGAAAGATTCAAAGGTTATACCCCCCTTCTCAATAACACGCATCGCCCCTTTAAAAACTTGGTAACAATAATGTATCGGTTTTATATAGAGCTTTTTGGACACTCAAAGAAGCTTCACATGTCATTCTTCATTCACTCCATACAGTGGTGATAAGTCATGACTGATTGACAGACAGGAGGTAATCGGTCTTCACGCACACCAGTCTCATTATGACAATGCGGGTGAAGTGTCTTGCCTATGGGCACAACAACCGTTTAGCAGCCTCATGTATTACCTGGTGTTCCCAGAAATCTTCCATACACTACTACTGTACCTAGACCCTGTCCTGTTTAGCTGCAGGTTTCTGGCGTTCACAGGCAGGTGGCGCCATAGATGGTAGTTGTAGATTAAGTTGTTTGAGATTTCCCAATGATGTTGTAATTAAAAGAGAAAACAATTTATTTGACTGTGTGGCAATCACACACAACCACTGATGATGATTATCGGGAGGACGTGGTTGTGTTAGAATTTACAATCCTTCACCATGTCATGTTTATTTTCCATGCACAAACGCCCTAAAAACTATTGTAGACCCACACCGCCCCCTCGTGTTGAAATGCATATTTGTGAGAAGCAGAATTACCTGATGCAGAGAGAGCGGTGATGGTGATTGGATGTTAAAGGATGGAGTAGGGGATGGAGCCTGGAAAGGTGAAATCTGTTGACGAACGTTATTGTCTATCATCTCCTTTATTTCCTCAAGAAGCATCCCTAATCTGAAAATCCCTCCCTCTACCAGCCTATCAAAGATACATCAGAATTGTATTAGAATGTGTCATTGTAAGACGTATCGAGAGTGTTGTTAGTGTGAGTTTTACCTGTCGGGATCAAAGTTCCCAATGTTCCTGTTTATCCCCATGTATTTCTGCATCTCCAACGCTCTGTGCTCTTCTTTCTTACACATGTACTTTCTCTCCAGCTGGTCCTGTGCCTCCAGCAAGATCCTCAACATCTAAAAAAAAAAGAAGCATTTCATTTTGATTCAACAACTCTGGAACAACAAAGCTGAATCCGTTTACCATTTGCTGTTCCTCTAGGTTTATTGATTTGCTGCTTACATTATGTTTAAGTTTGTCTACCTTAATGAAATAAAATACAAAGTTTTGAATCAGTATCAACACTATTCATGTCAATGTTTTCAGCCATTTTTAAATACATTTTGATTAAATCGGGTGACAATGTCAGAGAGTTCAGCCGTCATTAAGTCTCCATCACTGACTCCAACTTCGGACATCACTGGAGCTGCGTCTTTGTCGGTGGAAGAGGGAACTAGAATGCCTAGAAAATGATGCAAATTATTAGATACAGAGTCTGTAATTGCAATTATTCAGGTTACAGTATATCAAAATAGTATACAAATAAATATTTGTCTAAGTCTGTGTGCTGAGAGCTGATTGGCTGAGTAAGGGCGGTCCTCCCCTTTTCCTCTTCTTCACACATGTCTAAAAACGCTGAGTTTATACCGCATCTCTAGCTCAGGAATGTCCCGGGATTCACCCAGATGAGCTGGAGAAAGCGTGTGTGGATAGGGTGTTCTGGGCAACCACAGACTCATAGACAAACTGCTTGAGGAAGGGCATCAGGAGTACAGCGTTTTTGGCTTTATAGTGGAATTTTGTAAAAATTATAATAGTCACTGGTTCAATATTTTTCCCCATTATCCCCAAGACCATAAATAACATTTCTATGGAGTCTAAAAAGTTGTTTATAGCATTTCATTGTGTTTTTTCAATACAATTTTGTGAAATTGATTTTCCGTTTCATTTTTTTTCTTTGTCTTCATGATTCCATAATCATTATATATTTGATATGACAGCTCCAAAATATGAATATTCTAAAACCCCAGGTTGTACTGAAAAAAACAAAGTATACTGCTTGACTCTGCATCAAAATATGACTGTTTTATGAGCAATTTTACACAAAGAAAACCAGGCGAGGAAAGTTCCCCAAAATGATTCTAGACCTTGGAGGGTGTAAGTTTCTTCAATTTGCAAATGTGATTTTAGTTAGTTTCTGACTAAATATGGGAAGGCAGCGTTTCAGATAGCAGCTAAATCTATCTGCAACTGTCTTCCTGAAAATGTGAGACAGGCTTTGACTCTGACAGTGTTCCAATCCAGGTTGAAGATAGTTCTGTCACTATCTATGGTTTGCCTTTGCATCTAAACGAAAGATAATATTTTTAGTCTTTTGAATGTGCGGTGGTTATTCATGATTTTAATGCCTTGTATGCAATAAAGTTTGTTCTATGTGATGTGTGATTTAGTGTTTATGATTTTAATGCCAATGATAGCCGCCGTGAAGCACTTTGTGTAGGAAAAGCGTTCTACAAATAAAGGTTGATGGACTGATTGATTGATGTTGTGTAATCATGTTGTATTTTCACTATACAGATATTAAATTGCAATATGTATACACACAGATGCCTTTGGGTCTGTCTAGGTATGAATACACAGCTTTATATTTTCAGGGCAAATGCTAATAGTGAAATATGAATGCAGCGTAGATACCAGACAAACCTGAACAGAATTTTGTACAAGACACATGTCAAAACTCGCTATTACACAAATGAACCAACCGAATGGATTTTGTGAAGATCTTTCAGCTACATGGTTCTGGCTGCCCTCAAAACAAAGCGGTGTTTCAGACGCTGCCTGTAGAAACAAAAACAGTAATTAGTTTTGCTCAAATGATTGTTTTTACTAAAGTGAATCAGGAACTTTGATAAATGTTACTTTTGTCTTTTGTATGACAGTCTCAGCTTCAACATGTGCAGACAGCTGCTTCTCATAGTTAGTCTTAAGAATGAAAAATGTTCTAGTGTCACACATGTATTGGTTGTATTATGTTACTGCAGAATGTAGTACCTGTAGATGCTGCACAAGAGCTGGAGATGCTGCCGTGTGTGGATCAGTGAAGACACTGGGTCTTGCTGGTGAAAACACAGACTCCTCCAGGACCCTGCTCACCACATCCAACATCTCCGGTGAAGAGTGAGCTCTGTGGATTGTGCTTGGCTGCAGTGTTGGTTTTGTCGATTCTTTTGGAGCTTTAGGAATTTTTACTTTGGAGGCCACTTTGGAGAAATCAGGCCGTGGATAGTGGACTTGACCCTGACCGTATTTAATGTCATTGAACGATCTTGTTCGCAGAAATGGGGCTTTGTCCTTGTTTAGATTCTCTGACGCATTCCCACTTAGAATTTCATGCTTCGAACAGTTGCTGCCTGAATTTAGTGAAACATTTTCTGCGGTAGATGACGTACCATCATCATTCATATTTTCTATTGCTGATGAAGTTGCATTCATGTTTCCACTACTCTTCGGCTCTGAGGATCTACAATGATTAGTCTCACAAAAGGACGTTAAACCGTGGTAAGAAGGATTTGACTTGCTATTTTGCACTGAGGCTTTACTGTAAAATGTGTTGTCGGTGCTATCCAGTAATGAAACCTCTGGAAGGGTCTCTGCTTCAATGATCCGGCCGGATTGTATCAGAGCATCTTTAGAGAGAAAGCGATTCAAGAAAATGCTTCCTGTGTGTAAGTCGTGCTGTTTCGCTGCAGAGTTATCCTCAAAGTGCAGTGTTTCTGTAGTGGGCTTGACAGGAGATATATTTTCATTAATAACATCACTCATCATTAATATCGGTTCCCCAAGGGGATGCAAGTCTTGACCATGACAAGTTGTGGGTCTTCCCTCTTGGCTTGAGTGAGAAATGGTGTTAGGGTTAAAGTAAAGGCTTCCCAGGTCTCCATCATAGGGCAGGTCGTCATGGTCTTCATCACTGGTGTTCTCCCCGTGGTCATCATCATTCACTGCTGTGTTTGGTCTCTGGACAGACACACACTTACTGCTGATGCTGGGATTTCTGAGGCGGCTGATAGCAGATTTTGAAGAGCTTCCATGATCAGACAATACTCTTCCTGAAATGACAAAACAGAACACTTTGACATCAAAGCATTTCTGCATATATGCTCTTAGTTTGATATATAATACATTTTGTTTGTCTCAACTGAAAGAGCGTTAGTGTGAGTAACATTTTGTGAACATATCATAATACAACATACTGTCTTTCTCTTTTTAGAAAACATTTCTCTCTTTTACATTTTCTGTAAAAAAAGAGCCCTGTGAGTCAGTGTATGACACTTTGAGCTGAGGGCTGATTGGCTGATAAGGAGGGCATCTCTTTTTCACTTTTTTGTCGGAAAATACATTCACGCATGCAAAAAGTAAACAAACCAAACTGATTTGACAATGAGGAACTTTTTTGTGGGTAATTTAAAAGTTTAAATCTTGAGTCTTACCTGGGGGGGTTGAATTCTCTTTTGAAATATGAAAAGCTAGAGAACTCTCAAGATCACTTAAGTGGATACTCTCATCTTCGCTGAGGTCCACGATGATGCTCTGCTGAATACACTTTTCCCATAACACCACCGGCTCGTCATCCAATCCTGCATTTCCTTCCATTTATTGTATAGTGTTGTATCACTATAGTTTTCTGTTAAGTCTGTTTATCGATTCATCACCAAGCAACAAATCCGTCCTGCTGTAACCCAAGCCTCAATGACATGACCCAAAGTCACAGAAGAGAAGAGAAATGCGGTTTAGTTTAAATGAAAAAGGATGCCTGAAGACCTTCTTTCATTTGACTTACTTGAAATCCTGTAAATGCAGATATACCCAAACATATGCAAATGCTGTCCAGATGCCTGCAGAATGTACTGTAGCTCCATGCCTTCAGAGAGTCAAAGAGTCTTGAACAGGCTCTCTTTCTATTGCATCATTAATAATGTAAAGAAAACGCTGGTCGTCTGGACCCAACATGGCAGCTTACAGGTGCATGGTTGCTAAGCGATGCAGGTAAACTTCAGGTAAGATCACTTATCACAAATATAACAGCAAACACAAGAGATTGATGTCACATTCAACCTGCCCTGCCTAGCCGACTTCATTGTGTGTGTGTGTGTGTGTGTTCTACTGTTTGAAATGCTTAAAGAAAAACACTTCACCTTTCTATGGTCAGATCTTGAGTGCAAAGCTAGAATTAGAACTTATTAGAATTAGATTTGAATCTCTTTGGCCATAGAGTGTATATTAGTCAGATGTATAATTTACAGCAATGATGAAATAGTCTAGTTTTATGATCAAGCTTATTTTTCTATTGGGTCTATTGTGCACTTGTATATAGTAAATGTATGTTGAGACCCATACACACACACATACACCCAGTAAATTGTTCAAAACTGTTTTCTCTGTCAATGATTCTTCTTCCTTTTCATCTATTGCATCTACAACTAGATAAAAAAAAAATATGGTCAAGCTTGATCCATGCTACAGTCCATCGCTCACCCCCTAATTACGTCACCCATCTTGGTTCAAATGCCATTGGTGCACGGGCCGCATTGTGGGCGTGACTATCTTTGAATAACCACTTCTGATTGGCCACAGGGGGGGGGCAAACAAACTGGTCGGAAGGAATTTTTTCTACACTTATCGAAGTAGAATAAAAAAACTAATAATAACTTTTAAAAAGCACAAGATAATGCGATGATGTGTCTAGAACGGCGGTACCACTCTCTAGCCCTTTGACACCCGTGTTTTAGTTATTTAAATGTTGACTTCGTGACAAGAAAGAACCGAGATCGCCATTGTTCAAACTGGATCGGCTAACGTAAGTTTAACAGCTGCTGAGATAAGTTACAGCTAACAGCTAGCTTAGCACACAGTCTATGCACGTTTAACATCCTGACAGTAACGTTATACCAGAGAAACATGTGAAACTGTCTCTGAAATATACTGTAAGCTAAAGTAACGTTGCTATTGAAGAAGATGACAAAGTCTGGGATCGCGTCTTAAATTCAGACAGAAGACATGTTTTATTGTCGATGGTAGAGACAGCACGAACAACACGATCACAGATACAATAGAATGCAAGTGTATTATACAGAGCGGAGGCATGGAGACCTCCAATCAGCAGCTTCCATGGTGTGCTTGTAGCTTGGCCTTCAGATAGACAAAACAAGGGAAAAGTACAGGCTTCTGCACATTGATAGAATGATGAGTTTAACTTTAACAAAAGTTGCTTCAAAGTGTTATGAAATCTCACACTATAATACAGTAATGTGCATCTCACGTAACTTTGTGTGTGAGATTCTTTGAGTTGACTTTGACAGATCTATCTAGATTTAATATAATAAAGGCCTAATAGGGATACGTGGAGTAAAGTGTTATTACATTTCTACTTTTCCCATAATGTCCTTGTGTCAATCATTACTATCATTATTGTTGTGTTTACAGATTCCCTGTTCCCGTGCGCAGAAGTTACAGGTACGTCATAAATTGCTGGTGCCTGATCATGTTTTGGCTTTATGCTTCTGCTCACTCATGTGCAGTGGTCTGCTGACTCTGTCTTTACTTCCTAAAATGAGATGCTGTCATGTCATGTGCACCAGAGTCCAAAGCACACAGATCTGTGAGATGCTTTGATACAAGTATTCCTCTAGGCTGGCTGATTCTAGGCATCTCACTACAACACAACACAATTGGGGATCTTAGTTTTATCTGCAAGCGGGAAGATGTTTGCTTTTTTTGTAATAGAATAAAATATAAGCTGTAGAAGGATGACTGCTATTTGTTTTATGGAAAGTAGTTTAATTCAAGTTTATACGGTATCTGTTTCTGCTTTGGCTAATTAATGAAACCAGTGTCTATGGATAATGCTGCTGTATTGTAGTTGTGCCACGGGGGTTACATATTTTACATTATTCTCACTTAATGAAGAAAAAGTATTTATGGGATTGTCCATCAATCGCGACTGGCCTACCTGATACAACAAACCCTGTACCTAATAGAGTGGTATTGATGCTAAAACAGACTACAAGACAAGCTCAGGACACAGCACAACTTTATTATTTAACTTTAACAACATTGTACTATTGCAATGTGTTGATCAAGTGAAGGCACATTGGATACTAAGGCAAGCCATATTTGACTATTCCAGCTTTTCGCTAAACATTTTGTAAGATTTATGTTTTGTTTTGTGTGTACAGTTTGGATTAAGTGAATAATAATTCAACCAATCAATGTTTATTTGTAAAGGACTTTCCATACAACACAAAATGCTTCACTGTTCATTATAAACATTGACTCCCTATAGTTAGAGCATTTTTAGCCCTTTTTAATCAACTACTCTATGAACCGGCAGCCCTAATGTTAGTTACTAAGATGTATGAAATATTGGTTATAATGTGTGCAAATGGTTGGAATAATTGAACATAGTTAATATTTGATGTCCCCATTTAGCTTGAAGTTTGTCACTTTGTCAGCCTTTTTCCTGGAATGAAATCAGTTTTCTTGGGTTGTCTGCTCCTTTCGCTTTAGCTTTTGAGAATATTTTGATTAAGCTGCTGGGTGCTTTTACTCTTTTCGTCGTTCATTTGCAGGACACAGTTTCTGTCACTTGCTCACCTTGTCTTGATTATATCTGGCTCAAATCTTCAATGAGTCACCGTATTAGACAGTATTACTATTCATCCATTAATTCCCACCCTGCTCCCTTTGCCTGCCCCGCTCTGCACGCTGCTGTTTGGTTGGTGTTGCTATGGCATCACACGGCCAGAAAGGAAAGAGGCTTCACACACGGCTTCTTGTGTTCTCTCCACAGAGTGACCGGAGATTGAGAGCCAGTGACGCAAAACACGCACTATATGAACGCGGCCTATGGACTGCAGCAATCCACCGCAGTGTTTACAGCCATGCTCTTTCTTTTGACACAGACCGATCACTTTTCAAACTGAGCTCTCTTTTGGCCAACTCGATGTGACTTTTTTTCCCCCCTAAAACTTTTACATTTTTTTTAACAAACATTTTTCAGAGAACACAACTGGGATTTTTTTCCACATATTATGCACTTCAATGGATACAAGTGGTGGCACAGTAGTTAGCATGCAGCCTGAGGAGCAATCTTTTCATGTTCGCTACAGGTAGGGTGCTTTTCCGTTCACAATACCGTAACCACTCTGGCAGTTTTAGTGCAATTTAAATGCCTATCATTTTGACAATACTTTTGGCTGTGTTTATATACTTAAATATCTCTATAACAGATTACTGGTTACTGGAATACCATCTTTTATTGTTGTTTTAAGTCTAAGTTGTCAGAAGTGTCATCATTCAGCTGTCGGCACTAACGCAGGTGATTGGTCCCATCAGCAGGTGCGCTCCGCTAAATTCAACAAGCTCTTATTCTTGTTTCAATATTTACGAAGCACTGAAAAATTGATCACGGCATCCTTTGTTGATCGCTGAAAATGACTGAATAGAGCAGCTGTCTTCTTGGGGACTACATTGTGCCATAGTAGATACTCTATTGCATCTAGTTGTTATTAAAAAAAATATATCTGACTTAATTTGACTGTCTTGATAAAGCCACTTAACTGTTATAATCTGTCTATGTGCTTTTATCTGAGGTGACCAGGTCAGAAGAGAGAAACACAAGCTGATTAGTCGCAGAAATACTGAATCAGCTTTTTCCTCCGCTTGGACGCGAAGCTGATCCCACTATTGTGTGTGTGGAATATATTTTTAAATAATTGACGTCAAAGTAAAAGATTCGATGCCAGCGCTGTAGTTATGAATTATTTGATCGGTGAATTTTAACATTAAGTCGGCTTTGTTTTTGCGTTGGGAAAACTTTATGGTTACATGGATATACAGGAGAAAAGCGTTCAACTTGGAAGCTTAAAGAATCCGCTGGTGGATGCCTCTTAAATGTGCCGTCAGCTGCTGTCCTTGTTGTAAAACTCAAAAAGTCGACAGGTAGGCTCCTAGTACTTCTGTGCGAGTGTCCTTGGAATTTAGTTTTAATATTAATGTGCTTCTGCTTTGGATTCTGCTGATGGATTTGGCATCACAAGCTGTAATTCACACACACTACACAAAGAACGGGGACAATTCTTTTGATATTAATAAAGTGTATTTTCGAATATATTTAAAGCTGTAGAACTGTTTTTTTAGTAACAGTTAGTCAACAACGTGCTGTTTTTATGTTAATATAAAACATGTTCTATTTTACATACTGAGAGCTGATTGGCTGAGGTGCGTGATGGAGGCCAAAAATACATGTCAACACCCTCAGTGGAACGTGGATTATAATTAAACAAAATGAGGTCTAGTCCAACCTCTTATGAAAACAATCAACCAAATTTAATTCTGCAGTCTTTATGAACATTGTCAAGTCAACAAGTCTTTCTCATCAAAGTGTATTATGCCTGTTTAATTTAGGTCGGCCCCATACACCATTTCTAACATTTTGGTAAATAGGATGTGTGACCACCCATAATAAACACTCCATGCGAAAGCTATTGTTCTTTTCACTGAAGGCGGAAGGAAGTAACTAAACAGCATTCCCTGTTTGAGAGCTTTTGCCTAGAAAAGAGAGTTCAGTGCAGAGGGCATCAGCATTTCAGTAGGTCTTGGACACTGGGACCACGGCATTAAAGCGTCTCCATGAACTGTTGAAGGAGTGAAGTTGTGTTGTGTGCGGTAGGATGGAGGTGTCCTGCCTGGAGCTGGCCCTGGAGGGAGAGCGGCTCTGTAAGGCGGGTGACTACCGAGCGGGAGTCTCGTTCTTTGAAGCTGCCATCCAGGTTGGAACTGAAGACCTCCAGGTGCTAAGTGCTATCTACAGTCAGCTGGGAAATGCCTACTTTCATCTGCACGACTACGCCAAAGCTCTGGAGTTTCACCGCCATGATCTCACACTGACCAGGTAAGAACATCGACAAACAAACAATAATACAGTATATAGCAACTGTAACGGTTATAGGGATTTTACTGTGTCTGTCTGTTTTTAGATGTTTGCTTGCTGCATAATCGATTTCCCCTAGTGGGACAATAAAGATAACTTTGAACTAAATCATATGTTGCCTTTTACCCCCTGTAGAACAATCGGTGACCTCATCGGAGAAGCCAAAGCTAGTGGAAACCTTGGAAACACTCTGAAGGTGCTGGGCCGCTTTGATGAGGCTGTAGTCTGTTGTCAGCGGCATTTGGATCTCGCAAAGGACATAAGTGACAAGGTGAGACGACCGCAATCTTCCATATGAATATCATCAATATGTAAATGATAAAAAGCACAATAGGGATCAGTCTTCTTCACTCCCAGTTCTGTCTATCTGTGCATGTATCTGAAGGATTATATCCACACTCTTTTAAAATTGTATTGTTTATATTTCATCTGTGTACGGTTTTTAATGTTTCCTTCCATTTTGGGTAGCACTTTGAGTCACCTTGTGTTTGAGCTGTGCTGAACAAATAAATCATGCCTTACCGAGCACTGATAATATTTTGTTTTAGGTCGGACAGGCAAGAGCACTGTATAACTTTGGCAATGTATACCACGCCAAAGGCAAAAGTATCTGCTGGAGTGGAGCTGAGCCTGGTGACTTTCCAGAAGAGGTTATGGAAGCCCTAGCAAAAGCGGCAGAATACTATGAGTATGTACTTTAGAAGTAATGGTAAACACAATCATAAAGTGCTTGGTCCTTATTGCTTGTTCTATGCTTCCAGAGGCAACTTAGCCATAGTTAAAGAGCTTGGAGACCGGGCCGCTCAAGGAAGAACGTATGGGAATCTTGGAAACACGCACTACCTTTTGGGCAACTTCCGCAAAGCAGTTTTCTTTCATGAACAGGTTCGTGATTAATCGTGGTGAGGGAAAAATGTATTCTGTTCAGTATTGCGATATTTTTTGCACACAATTAAATTGATGCAGTAGAGCAAAGTATTGCAATATATAATTACACAATTGTTTCACTTTTGTGTTTTCTGATTTTACTCTGGGTTTTTGCTTCCGTTAATGTGCAGACCATAATAAATGTGACATTTGAACTGACAATTTTCCTAATTTTTTTAATGCCTTTGAATAATTTGAGGGATATGAATCTCAATATATTGCAGCATCAAATTGCAAAACTTGCTGTATCAATATGTAAAGAATTGCAATAATATAGTAATGTGGCATTTTAGCCAAATCCCACCCCAAGTTATTACAATCATCATTGCACAACTTTTTAAAATGACTCTTTTCAATTGTCTCGTTTTCAGCGTCTACTCATAGCAAAAGAGTTTGGAGACCGCTCGGCTGAGAGACGAGCCTACTGCAATTTAGGGAATGCGTTTATATTTTTAGGGGAGTTCGATGTGGCTGCCGAACATTACAAGTAGGTCTCTTGAACTTGACACATCCTTCTCATGACCAAAGCTTTTGCACTATGTTTAATGCAATATTGTCCACGGTTTAGGCGCACGCTGCAGCTAGCCCGGCAGCTAAAGGATCGAGCGGTGGAGGCTCAGGCCTGCTACAGTTTAGGAAACACATACACACTTCTGCAGGACTATGAGAGGGCGATCGACTACCACCTCAAACATCTCATCATAGCTCAGGATCTTAACGACAGGTAATGCTTCCACACTAACGGAAATTAAACTTCACATATGTACACGTCAAAGCACAGAACAAGTGTGCAGTGGTCCGCTAGTCACATCCACCACTTTTAAACCACTTCACTTCTTTCGAAACAGAAATATGACCTTATGAGGACATGAAGTGAGCAGAGTCCAATTGACCACTAAGTGTGAATGAGCTCTGAAATGTGTGTGTGTTTTTCTTTATTAGGCCCGAGCCCCGAACGGGGTAAGGGCCTATTGCTTTCACAATGGTGAAAACAAATGGTGGCGGTGCGTGACGGACGCGTCAGCGCCCGTCACTCACCAAAACGTGACGGTTGCGTGCGTAAACTCGAACACTTTAAAATGATGTATCACGTGCCATTGAAACCTATATTGTTTTTGCTCGAGACGTCGAAAAAAAAATTCCTTTTTTATTTCTTTCTTTCTTTCTTTCTTTCTTTCTTTCTTTTTTCTTCTGCACTTTGAGCCTTAATTTGACCCCCTGAACATGCATGAAAAGTTGTTAAATTTTGCCCAAAAATCAGACCTGGCGAAAAATTTGATATTTTGGTGTTTATTTTTATGGGACTCAAAAAATGCCAGAACAGCGCCACCTACAACAGCCAAAATAATACCCCTATGGGAGTTCTGAGGATCAAGTTTGTTGTAGAGTCATGAAATTCGGTACACATGTTCCGCAAGTCAAGACAAGAAAAAAATATTATTATGGCTCCGCCCTCTGACAAACAGGAAGCCCATAAATTTCACTGCAAAATGGAAAAATGAACAGCAAAAGTATTCATACATGTCGGTTGGAAAGCGACTCCTCCTCGGCCGTTTCACCGATTCGCCTCAAAATCGCTCCACATCATCTCAACACATGTACCTTCAAAATGACCTCAGGGATTTTTGATCAGTGAAACATTGTTTGAGCAGCGGAGCGGCAAAATGTGACCTTTTTTGGCCGTTTTTGACAACATTAAATTTGCTCCCGTTTGCACAAACAAAGTCTGATTTGCAAAAAACATTAATACATTGTTCAACTCTAGGGTCTAGGTCGTTTTAAAGTGAATTAATTCAAATTGACACATTAGCGCCCCCTACAGACTATTTCAAAGTTTTAGATGGGCATTTTCAAATTTAGTTTTTTCAAAATGTTTGAAATTTTGCACATAAATCTGTTTTGCCCTCTTGATTCAAAAAGTCAATTGGGTCCAAGGTTTATTTTTTACCCTGTTGCCGTGGCGACGAGAAACGCTCCCCATTCATTGCAAATGTACACCTCACACAAACATCAAACCAGCCTCGGCTGTTTCACCGATTCGCCTCAAAATCGCTCCACATCATCTCAACACATGTACCTTCAAAATGACTTCAGGGAATTTTGATCCGTGAAACGCTGTTTGAGCAGCGGAGCGGCAAAATGTAAGGGTTTTTTTGGCTCTTTTTGACAACATTAATTTTGCTCCTGTTTGCACAAACAAAGTCTGATTTGCACAAAACTTTCATCCATTGTTCAATTCCAGGGTTTAGGTCAGGTTAAAGTGAAATATTGGAAATCGGCCCCTTAGCGCCCCCTACAGACTGTGTCAAAGTTTACATGGGGAGCCAAACCAGCTCTACTTATCATATTCATTACAATTTGACTAACATTCTTCTATGGCTACGGAAACAAATCATCACACGGCGGTGCTACCTCCTTTTAGCGGTGCTGCGTGGTACGGTGTGGTGCGGCGTAGTGCGGGGCGTTGTGGAGCGGCGCGTTGCGGCTTGGTGCGGGGCGGCGTGGTGCGGGGAGTGCGCGCGGTGCAGGGAGTTGCGCGGTGCGGCGAGGGCCGTTCGACGCCGCTTGCGGCTTTAATTTATTTATTTCTTTCTTTTTTCTTCTGCACTTTGAGCCTTAATTTGACCCCCTGAACATGCATGAAAAGTTGTTAATTTTGGCCCAAAAATCAGACCTGGCGAAAAATTTGATATTTTGGTGTTTATTTTTATGGGACTCAAAAAATGACAGAACAGCGCCACCTACAACAGCCAAAATAATACCCCCTATGGGACTTTTCGGAGGTCAAAATTGTCGTAGAAACATGAGATTTGGTACACATGTTCCTCAAGTCAAGACAAGAAAAAAATATTATTATGGCCCCGCCCTCTGACACAACAGGAAGCCCATAAATTTCACTGCAAAATGGAAAAATGAACAGCAAAAGTTTTCATACATGTCGGTTGGAAAGCGACTCCTCCTCGGCCGTTTCACCGATTTGCCTCAAAATCGCTCCACATCATCTCAACACATGTACCTTCAAAATGACCTCAGGGATTTTTGATCAGTGAAACATTGTTCGAGCAGCGGAGCGGCAAAATGTGACCTTTTTTTGGCCGTTTTTGACAACATTCAATTTGCTCCCGTTTGCACATACAAAGTCCGATTAGCACAAAACTTTAATACATTATTCAACTCTAGGGTCTAGGTCATTTGAAAGTTAAATGATTCCAATTGACTCATTAGCGCCCCCTACAGACTATTTCAAAGTTTTAGATGGGCATTTTCAAATTTAGTTTTTTCAAAATGTTTGAAATTTTGCACAAAAATCTGTTTTGCCCTCTTGATTCAAAAAGTCAATAGGGTCCAAGGCTTATTTTTTACCCTGTTGCCGTGGCGATGACAAACTCTCCCCATTCATTGCAAATGTACACCTCACACAAACATCAAACCAGCCTCGGCCGTTTCACCGATTCGCCTCAAAATCGCTCCACATTATCTCAACACATGTACCATCAAAATGACTTCAGGGAATTTTGATCAGTGAAACGTTGTTTGAGCAGCAGAGCGCCAAAAAGTGGCGTAATTTTTTTCAGTTTTTGACAATAGAAAATTTGCTTCCGTTTGCACAAACAAAGTCTGATTTGCACAAAACTTGAATCCATGGTTCAACTCTTGGGACTAGGTCATTTGAAAGTAAAAATTTTGAAATTGGCTCTATAGCGCCACCTACAACAGCCAATTTAAAAATGCCTATGGGAGGGGTTTGAGGTCAAAATTGTCGTAGAACCATCTAATTTGGAACACATGTTCCTCAAGTCAAGACATGGAAAAAATGTTATTATGGCTAAGCCCTCTGACAAACAGGAAGCCCATAAATTTCATTGCAAAATGGAAAAATGAAAACCAATCATTTTCACACATGTCGTTTGGAAAGCGACTCCTCCTCGGCCGTTTCACAGATTTGCCTGAAAATCGCTCCACATCATCTCAACACGTGTACCTTCAAAAATGACTTCAGGGAATTTTTATCAGTGAAACAATGTTAGAGCATCGGAGCGGCAAATAGTGACCGTTTTTGACGATAGAAAAATAGCTCTCGTTTGCACAAACAAAGTTTGATTTGTACTAAACTTGACCTGGTTGTTCTACTCCTGGGCCTGGGTCACCTAAAGGTGTAAAATATTACATATGCTCTTTAGCGCCCCCTAAATACCGAGCTAAAGCTTTACATGGGGAGCCAAACCAACGGATCAATATCACAAATATTGGCCTATGGCATCGGAAGCAAATCATGGCGCGGCGGCGGCGCCACCTGCGGAGCGGCGAGTCACGCAGGGAGTCACGGGAAGGGGAATCGCGAGTTGCGCGGTATGGGGAATCGTAGCTGTGCCGGGAGTCGTAGCTGTGCTGGGAGTCGTAGCGGAGCGGAGAGTCGTAGAAGCACACGGGGCAGGGAGTTGTAGCAGAGCGGGCAGTCGTAGCGGCGCGCGGTGCGGGGAGTCGTAGCGGTGCGCAGTGCTGGGAGTCGCAGCGGAGCGTGGTGCAGGAAATTGTAGCTGAGCGGGGTGTCGCAGCGGAGCGGGGAGTCGTAGCGGAGCGGGGAGTCGTAGCGGAGCGGGAAGGCGCGCGGTGCGTCGCGCGGTGTGGCGAGGGCCGTTTGACGCCGCTTGCGGCTTTAATTTTATTTGTATTTCTTTATTTTTTTTAATTATTATTATTTATTTTTGGCACAATGGCTGGAAAGTGCCATCGTGCCAAATCATACAAATTTCAAGTACGATTTCAGTTTCAAATCGTACTTGAAATTTGCTTTAATCATGTTGACATGTACTGAGCAAAAACACAATAAAGTATTAAAAACTATATGAAATTCGTGCACATGATTAGCCAGTCGTCACATCTAAATTTACAGACATTTAACTAAAAATAAAATCCATGGTTGAACATTCTCTGTGATCCTAATGTTTGTAAAGTCTAAAATAATGAGTGTGACAAACTGAGGGGTTTACTTTTCACTGTAAGCGAATAGAAAGCAAGCGAGATACAAGTTAGAGAAAAACCTCCCTTTTGGGCGTCATTGAGCTAACGAGTTAGCATTGTCCATTTATAGAGTCTTTATTGAGACAGACAGCAGTGACCAAAGTATCGTTGTTCATCAAGATCATTCCTCATGCAATTTATCGACTTGGCCAAATGTTTTTACTGTGACTAAACTGGGGCGAGACTGAAGTTGATTCTTTCCTCTTGAAGGATTGGAGAAGGTCGTGCATGCTGGAGTTTGGGAAACGCCCACACTGCTCTGGGAAACCACGACCAGGCCATGCATTTTGCCGAGAAACATCTGGAAATTTGTAGAGAGGTACAAGAACACTGAAGGACACAACTATATATTACTTTCACTAGAATATACAGTATTTTGTACTTGCTCCTTTTAAGTCAGGGGTTATTGTACTTGGGTCTTGCTTCTCCATCATGCTAAAGTGGGAGATTTTAGACTTCTTTCATTATTATGCATTTTTCTGGTGCTGTGTGCTCCTATAAAGGAATGAAGTATCTTAGTCTTAATTTGACTTGAAAAAGAACACGTTTTATCTTTTCAGACTGGGGACAGAAGTGGGGAACTGACGGCCCGCATGAATGTTTCTGATCTCCAAACAGTGTTGGGTTTCAGCTACAGCACTAACAACTCCACTCTCTCCGACAACAAGGACACAGACTGCAGCTCACACGGTAACACATCATGCTTGTAATTCGTTTTTTTTTTTTGATAGCTTTGTTGGTAAATGATTGATGACTTTTGAAGGAGCAAGACCCAGAATGAGCAGAAGACACAGCATGGAGAACCTGGAGCTGGTGTCTCTCACTCCTGAAAAACCAAATGTAAGGACCATAACCACATTAGTATCTCATGTCGTACGTGTGCGGCTGGTTCAGAGCATTTTCCATATTTCATTGTTTTCTTATTTTTCATCTTGACTTTTTGTATCTTTTTAATTTTGTTTTTTCCCACCAGGTTCAGAAATGGAGCAGCGATATCCTGACCAAACCGTCCAAGCCGTCTTTGGGAAAGGCCTCCTCCAAGTTGTTCTTTGTGAATCGTCTGCGAGGGAAGAAGTACAAGTCCAGTAGCTCGAGTAAAGTTCTCCAAGACACCAGCAACACACTGGACACAAGTCAAGCTAATGTGCAGGCACCACAGAAGGTACGCAACACTGTCTCTAATGGTTTCATCAACCATTTAGCACAGGAGTGTCCAAACTTTTTAGCAAGAAGGCCACTTTAGTTCATCAGACTTGAACCGGTTGCCGACAAACTGGATTTAAAAAACTGGAGCTGGATTGACTGGATTCCAGAGGGTCTGAGATTTAAAACAAGGTATAGCATGACTGTATTGGTGGAGCTGAAGTTGGTTGGATGACACTATCAAAGTACCTCAATGGCGACTTTGTGTTAGCGGCAGAGGGCCACATAGAATAGCACAGAGGGCCGCAATTGGCCCGCAGGCCTGAGTTTGGTGGAAGACTGCCTGATTTAGTGGATCACGTTTTTAAACATGGTCGGAACTGAAATCTACCTTTTTTTTGGGCATCTCACTTGTTTTTAGCCACTTTTACCATCAAATCGCATCTCAACCATTTAGTAAAGAATTATAAATAATAAAAACTATAAATAAATAAAAAATGTAATAACAAATGATTTGAAATGATGAAAATCCCATCGTTTTTTGTTGTTTTTTTCAACAAACTGCCTTTTATTCTGTCATATTCATGTTTTTGTTTTTCTTTGTGATAAAAAAATAAGATCCGTGCTGCAGTATTTGGAGCTCATATGAAGGAATAGAAAGTAGCGACGATGTGCCCATTTATATTTCTCTGTTTTTGACTCTGCGGTTCAACAGTCTTTATAAACATTGCTTTTCTTGTCTTTTTGCATCATAGCGTACGAGTCCCGAGACATTGGGAGACGAGGGCTTCTTTGATTTGCTCAGTCGCTTTCAGAGCAACCGCATGGACGACCAACGCTGCTCCGTACAGGACAAGAGCAGCAGGTTGTCGCTCAGCAGCAGCCAAGACTCTCCGCCCAGAACCATGAGAAAATGTAAGGATGTAGAAAGATAACGTGCCTGATTTTTCTCACTCTGGCTGATTGCATTTCATTTATTCTCTCTCGAAGCTTTGTCGGAGTCTGCAAACGTGTCGACTACGCACGGCCGGCGGTTGGAGGAGTCTACAGCTCCAGGTGGAAGTCTCCCGGGTTTGAGGGTGAATCAGAAGGGGAGCCAGGCCGTGCTGAGCCACCTCATGGCCAACGCCGACAACGCGGAACCTGACGAGGACTTCTTTGACATGCTCGTTAAGTGCCAGGTACATCTACTTTTGTGTTCATTCGCAAAACACTGGTCTTCAAACCTAACTCACTCACTACCAAACTTTAAATCAGTACTTCAAAATCCATATTTTCAAACAAGCTTTTTGATTTAATTTCATTCCCCATATGAAGCGTCTTTGAGTGTCCAAAAAGCGCTATACAAGTTTGATTTATTATTATTCACCTCAAAGGGCTGGTGTGGCTGCAGGTTTTCATTGTAACCCATTTCATCAAGTGAGCCTCGAATGCTTCTTTTTTGTTGGAATATGCCTTCAAAGTCACATCAGGACATGTTCGATTGAGTTGTTTTTGACTCCATGGAAGCTAATATCACACTCAGGGGTCACCACAGTCGCCCCCATAGAGGCCACTAACAAAGGCGTCCACGAAGCATGATCTAAAAATAGGTTTGGTCCCGGTGCCTGTTGGCCCTGCCAGGAATCCAATCCAGATATGACCCGCTCAAGAGTCCAGTTTGTGAGTGACGCAAACACTTGTCAATGGCTGCGATTGATTTTTAGTATGTTATTTCACATTCTTTAAAGGCACACCGTGTAACTCTTGGCCACTAGGGGCGCTAGACCTGCAACTTTCACGTTTAGCGCCCCTAGTGGCCACAAGCAACTCAGCACTGTCGCAAAAGTCAACAAACAGTCAGCCGGTGTCTTTTGAGTGTGTATTCAGACAGCATGCACTGGTGTGTGTGTTCAAACTGTAGAGACATGCCTACAGATATTGAGAGACTCTGCTGTGGTCAGCCTCCAGACCGCTGCATTAGTAATCTACCACACATGGACTTCTATATCCTGGATGAGGGAGTTCTGCGTCTAGCTCGTGCTGCGTGGAATGACATCTTTGCAGTCGATGACATCCAGGAACCAGGTGAAGAGCAGCGCTCATACAGACATGCAGCTTACAGCACGATCCCTTTCGCGTTTCCTCTTTTTAGCCTCCTCCGAAGGTTTAACATTTTTCCTTGCCTCAGCCATGACCAGGAGTCGAGCAGGTGAAAAATGAGTAGCAAAAGCCTTAGCTCCATGAGTATATCAGCGCCTGTAACCGTAAAGCAAGTCTTTCTTCCAAGTCACGTGACCTGGTGGCAGACGGTCCGTCTGCTCTAAACTTACATGGGCGGTATTTCAAGAGGGCAGCCCCGCTCGGAGCATTGCAAGTGTCAAGCGCTGTATATTGGCCCAAGTATTCATATAAAATAACTCATGTGTCAACTCTTTAGGTCACAAAGTCCGCGGTGTGCCTTTAAATTACTGTGAAAATGTATATTATTTTTAATTTCCAAAACTAATGCACACATCATGTTTAAGGATCAAATATACATAAATGATGCATAATAATTCTTCTTGATAGTAAATGTATTGAAGCATGAAGACTTATCTGACCTCCGTTGTTTCCCTGCAGGGTTCTCGTCTGGACGACCAGCGCTGTGCTCCTCCAATCCCTCAGGTTCGTGGGCCCACGGTGCCAGACGAGGACTTCTTCAGTCTCATCATGCGTTCTCAAGCTAAACGTATGGATGAACAGCGCGTAACTCTGCCTTTGTCGACCAACACAAGACCAAGCTCCAATTAAATTAAAATGTAAAGCACTATACAAACTGTTTGGTGCCGACGGACTGCAATAACTGGATGAGTTTCATGAGAAGATTCAATTCCTCATGATTTCAGATAAAACGATGCACTAACATTATTGCCAGTTTAACAGTATGAAATGTAATGTATGAACTGTAGAGCTTCACTCAAACACATCAGGGAAGTTGTTTGGTCCAAGTTTCATTTGTGTCTTTGTATATATTGTACATATTGCATTTTTAAAAGATTCTGTCCTTTTCCTCCCAACCACTGCAATGTAGCAACACTCTGGTGTCTGGAATACGTGCAGAGCAAAAAGCACTCTAATGTTTGTCAGGTTTGTGTGTGTTTGAAAAGAAACTTCAGTTTATGTTTGGTAAAGTCAAGAATTTTCATATGTACAAAAAATTACAATATTTCGTACTGTATTATGATTATTACCTGAGGAATAAAGCCTCATGTATTTTGAAGGAGTGAGTGTTGTTCATTTACACCAAAGCAAAATGGGTCTTTAGTAAAAGACAATTTATTGAACGTACCGGCAGTCAGATTTCAGTTAGCTTCAAATGAATTAAAATACTTTAAAACAAGAACTAATAGACTTAATACAAAAGCCACTGGAAGTTCAAAACATATATACAATCCACAAACACAAGATAAGTACATCTTTGCAGATAGTGATTAGTTGTTTCATTACAATATTATCTAAACATAAATAGTATGCATACAAGTAAATAATAAAATAAAAGTGCATGGGTTAAAACATAAAATTGATCGAATACTGGCTCTTGAAAAATAAACCATTGGACATGACCATCTAGAGCTCCGCTGGAGATAGTTCAGTAACAATAAACACGTTTCCCTTTATGCTTGTATAAGAACTCTCAATGCAAGCGTCACCGAAGACACATTTCAGCACAACATTTAATTATATTTTTGTACAAGACTGTACAGGCAATTAAAGCTACAGTGACACAGGTCATGTTTTCCAAATAACATCTGTCCAAAGACCACACCCTTTGGCCCAAAGAACAACCAACAATAGGTTGTGTTCATGTGACATCACAGTATTCTTAGGAGCCTAAAATTTAACATGTGGAGGGCAGCTGAGAAATCTTCCCTGGAAGCTATGCTAGTAGTCAAAAGTCAGGCTTTTGTCTTAGTTTATGGCTAATTTCCCTGTAATTCCTGGGTCAATCTACATGATACTCCTAATCCTAGGAGTGGTGCCAATATCTAAAGAACATTTATGATATTGGCCAGTAGAAAGGATTTACACACATAATAATATGGCAGGTTTTTGAATCTGATCACTTTCAGATAATGATATGGGAAAACAGTTGGACATTTCCTTCAACTTGTTTTTCCCATAGACTTGTATCGGCACCTGCCCTCCAATGGAATTAGAATTTGACAACATGAACACAACCTATTGCACTTGTTTCTAAAACATAGCAGCATTACACAATAAATAAATAATTGTTTGAATCTGAAATAAAGTAAGACATTTTTTAGACAATGATATAAAGGCACCAGTCAAAAATATAAATCATGCCCCTCTCAGGTTTCCTCAGTCAAGGACCATGCTTCAGATGGCCTCATGTCAAATAATTGTGAAATGTAAATAAAAACCCACTCACAGCGAAGAACATGCAATGTGTGCTATTAGTTCATCTCAGATGTCCCTGTTTTCACGTTCACCTGTGCAAGCTCTGAATGGGCTAAAGCGGTGTGTTTACGTATCAGCATTTTCACTTCCCATGTCCTGTGTTCCTATGGTTGTTCTACTGAGTGTGCGTCCAGAGAGTGACAGTGCGGTCAGCAGAGGAGGAGAGGAACGACAGGTCCTGAGTGTGCCAGCGACACTGGATCACTTTGTCTCCGTGCTCCCCCACAACAGTCAGAGGCAGCGGCTTTGTCAAATCACCTACAAGACACACAAACACACACACACACACAAACACACACACACACACACACACACACACACACACACACACACACACACACACACACACACACACACACACACACAGACACCTATTTTAACACACAGTGCAGCCTGCATGACAAAAGTTTGTTTTTTGGATCTGTTCTTTAAACACAGATATCTGAACTTTCTCCTCACTACATGTTTAAAAATGTTAATTTGCAGATGACTATTGAGTTGATTTTTTGTACTTTAACTTAAGTACATAAAAATGAAAATATATGTAATTGCACTTTACAAAATTGTACTTTGTACATAACATTTGAGAGAAAATGGATATGTGATCTGATAAATGAATAATTCAAAATGTTTGAAAACACCAAAAGCGTTCAAAAGCATCTTCGTCTTGAGTTCTCTAATATTTCAAAGGAATTCAATCGTAAATATTTGTTTCTATGGAATAATCTTACACAGCTCCAACCTTACAAACTGTTTTTTAAATATTTTTCAAATTAACATTTTATGATTGGTTTGATTCTATTTTTGGAACATTTCTTACATAGAGTATTAAATCAGGATCAAACAAAGATAGAATAATATATACAGTATACTATAAACAAAATATAGTTTAACTGACAGGTAAAACAACACACGTACCTTGGAGGTTGGCCACCATAACCTTCTGGTCATAGGAGCCGGTGAGGAGGTAGTGTGCTCCGGGAGAGAAGCGCACAGAGCGGACGTCACTGCTGTGCGGGCGATAAACCTGCACGATGCGCCCTCCTCTCATGTCGTACAGCATACAGGCGCTGTCCTCCTGCCCTGTGGCGAGGAGGCGAGCACTCGGATCCACCGCCACAGAGGCCACCGGGCTTCCTGCAGAGGGAAAGGGCACAATTGATCACAATGTTCCTTTACAATATCACTTGTAAATGTATATATTTTTGAGCAACAACTAGTTTCTAAATATGTTGCTTGAGATTTAAGATTCAAATTATTGTCCAGCCGTAGTTCAGAAGCCTTTTATGTGTTACAAATATAGATTTGGTGGCTCAGTTTAACTTGGAAATGATTACTTCATGGCTTTAATCTTAAAGTTCCTAAAAAGTTTGAATAACCTAACCTGAAAATATTTAAAAACGAGCAATACCTGATCCGTGGAAAGCAGTTCCCACAACACGAACGCAGCTGGGAACTCTCAGGTCCCAAAACCGCACAGTCTTGTCCTGAGATCCAGAGGCAATCATCCACCCGCCCCATGTGTACAGTGAGAGAATGTGTCCTAAAGGAAAACCCCACATGGATCATACAGGGTATATGCAGAGAGCAGAATACATTGTTAGGATACTACAACAGAACAGTAGGAAGGAGGAGCACCCAACACAAGATAAATGAACAATAACTCTATACTAAAATAAAATAAATCAAAAATAAGCAAGTATAGAATCTCTAATTGTAGTATAATAAGGAAGCAAATCTTAAATCTCCAACTAAAATCTTGTGATTGAAACATTACGACAGCCCTCTTCGCACCTGTGTGTCCACTGAGGGCGTGTAATCCCTGGCCTCTCTGACAGTCGGTGGTGTAGATGTTACAGTCTCCAGCCCCTGCACTGATGAGGATGGCCCCTCCGCTCTCCGGCCCCTCCATGAAGGCCAGGTCTCTGATGGTGCCGTCGTGCATGCTGAACTCCAGGTCTGGGCCTTGAAGCCACACAAAACGAAACAATGATTATTCCCGGTCTGAAAAATGGGAAAACATAGTGAGAAAAGTGCGTCTGACCTGTGGCGTTGCATGTCTCAGCGCTGAACGGCAGAACTTTGACAAATTTGTCGTTGGAGCCGGTGGCCAGGAGCTTTCCACAGTGACTCCAGGCCACGCAGTAGATAGAGCCTTTGTGATGCTTGTTCCGTTTGAAGCGCACAGTTGGTGCCTTCACTGGACTGTTCCCACTGAAAATAAATGCGTTTCTTTCAATCAATCATATGTATTCAACTCAATATATATCTGTAAAGCCATAGGTTGTCAAATGCCTCAAAAATCGGATATTCTATTGATCGTAAAACTCGTATCTGAACTCATTTAAGAAAGTATCAATGCTAAAAGAAAAAAAATATCAGTACACAATGTTTGATTCTCTGTGGTACCATAAAACATACTATAATGTGGTATTGTTATTTATGTAAAAAAAAAATGCAGCTCATTGAAAAGCGTCTCTGGTTCATAGAATAACAGATTCACCAATACCAACACTGTTTATAAACGTCTCATCTCATCCTCTGTCCTTAGACCCTCCTGCATTAGCAAAGAAAAACTCAGTGGGACCCAGAGTGAGAAAATGACAATGTTACGGACGGACAGACTATAAATCGAGGACTGTAAACATGTTCAACTGTTTTGAAGCCTGTACTGTTCTGTCAGTGTTATGAATACATCATCTCATTAGGGTGTGTTTTGTTATCTGAGATCGCATTGCTCAATCCTGTTAGCTTAATTTGACAGCAAACTGTTTTCTGAGGGAAAAAAATACAGCCCCAATAATAGTAGAACTGATAGATACAAATGTGACTGTAATTATGTGTTGCAGCTGGAGTTACCTTTTGTCTAATGTGTCGGGGTAAGCACACACTCGCAAGGTTTTAGAGTTGGACCCCACAGCGTACAGAGCCCCGGACGGATGGAAGGCGACAGCACGGACCGCCTGAGAGTCTTCCAGAGTGTTCACTGCCACAAAGAGGGCCTTGGATTTGTCAACCTAAACACCAAATATTAGATAGAAAATAGATAGCTTCTTTTTGCTTTTTTGGAGACTTTGTTTGTTTGAATTCATACCTCTTTGCTCCGTGTCAGTGGGCCGGGAGAGTCACTTAGTCCTTTCAGTTTCTGCCCGCTGTAACATTACATGAACAAAATCAGTATAAATATACCTGTCTCTGTTTCCAAGCTAATATGAGGAGCTTCTTGCAAAAATTGGTGCAAAAGTGCCTTCAACTTCAAACTATGACTATTGCATTGTGAACCAGCGTCACCAGCATGTGAAAGCCTGATCGCGGCAGACCGAGTCAGAAGCTAAGCAGGGCAGGGCCTGTTAGAGCTGTGATGGGAGTCCTCTGGAAAAGCTCGGTGCAACAGCGGGGTGGGTGTAGCTGTAAAGTGCTGGACTATTGTTGTGTTAGGTCAAACACTTTTCATCCACATTGCCTAGAATTAATCTGGTGTGTGTGTGTGTGTGTGTGTGTGAGTGGTTGGTGGTGGTTGGAGGGGCCGATGGCACGTACTGGTTGCCTCGCTTCTGTCAGTGTGCCCCAGGGCAGCTATGGCTACAGTAGAACTTTATCACCACTGTGAATGAAGTGGATAAATAATCACATATGAAGCGTCTTTGAGCGTTCAAAAAAGCGATACATAAAACCGATGCATTATTATTATCATTAAAAGCAATATACTAATGAATTATCATTATTAGCATATTTTCTTCCTGTCAATTAGTTTTGTGAATGTTTCCAGTGAAATCTGTTCTTACAATTGCACTCTAAATAAGACCAAACCATAATGTATTTAAATGGCACAGAAGGTAACGACCTCCTACCATTCTTTTAGCCATGTTCATCAATGTATTTTCTACTGAGGAAATGATTTCATATTCTATAACATTGAAATAAGCCCAACATGTATATTCTCAAGAGTGTTGGGTTGAAATTAACACAAAAATCATGTACAATGCTTAATCTTTGCTGCAGTCTGAGTAAATCTGTCAGTGAGAAACAGACCTTTGTGCGACAGGAGATTCAGTGGGAGGTGGGACCGTGCGACCCCCTAGTGTGGGCTGAGGGGTACTGCTGATCACCCCTCCTTGCCCACTGCTCTTCTCTGGGCTCGTCAACGGGGGGTTATTGTTGTTCTCGGGCCCAGGGGAGTTTCCATTCACATTATACTGTTGGGTCAAAGACTTCACGTCCTCCCCTAAATTCTCCATGCCCACATTGAGCTCCTCCAGTTTTTGTATGGACCTGAAAGCAACAGAAAAACAATGAGGATTAATACAAATTAGGGTTGGGGATATGGTTAGGATTACAGAGAAATCTGCAACACCAGAAAAAGCTTTGGTGCCACTAGCAGACCACAGTTTGAGAAACACAATTACAGCTCTTTGTTTAGGCGTACATATATCTCAGATGATTTCATTGTGCACCTTGTGAATAGAGGGGGCGGGCCATGTCACAGATGGTGCAATGGGGTTTGTTGTAATCCACCTGGGACTGTCTGAAGAATACATTAACATCAATCTTCCCGCACTGTTTATATATGTGCAGAGAAAATACATATAATTCAGCTGCACAAACCAGTGAGACCTCTTCTGTCTCAGTCTACAAGCTACAGTATATATCTGATTGACCACACTCTACCTTGTCACACTTTCAAATGTGACTGAACTTTGCTTTGGCACTTAATGTTTGTAGCTGTAAATACATTTGCTTTTGTACATTGATTTTAGACGCCCTTTTGGCAACTACGGCAACACCTTGTTTAATTTGAGCCTTTGATCAACAGACACTCATCTCCAGCAGCCAAAGTCATTTTTGCAGTGCAAAAATTTAAAGTTTTCCTGCGCGCTGCATCAGATCAGTCCTGGTTACAAAGGTTCAAGGTGACTTTATTTGTTGCCATGGGTAGATTATTTTTGCAGTTAAAATAAGACTTGGCATCTACACAAAAATATTCATAAAAATCCACAATAAAACAAAACAGATAAGTAAAGAAAAGAAGAAAAAATGAAGGTCAAAGTGTAAAAAGGTGCTAAGCCAAAACTCCAAAGCTCATTTCTGAGTAAAAACCCAAGATAAGAAATAAAGTGCAACATGCCACGGTGCAAACTACAGCCTGTTCATTAAGGTGACATGAGGCAAACATTTGAGTGCAAATAGTTGCCCCTGTTTCTCCAGCACGTAGCACCTCAGCCAGAAAGTGTTTCACAGACAGAACTCTAGTGTTTGTGTTGCCCTCAGTGTCTTGTGCAGAAGATAGTTGTGTTGAACAAACCTGTTCAGAAACTTCTCTGTCAGACTGTGGTGCATGTCCGCCGGTGGAGGCTCCTGCTGCACCCCTCCCTCCAGCAGCATCTGCTGATACAACTGCCTCTGCTGCTGCTTCTGCTCCAGGTGCTGCTGAACACGGAGCCGCTGCCTGTAGAACTCCTCATACTTCTCTGTGGAGTCACGGAGCTGATGGAAAACGGTAGAAACGTAATAGTAAAAGCAATTTATCTTTTCCAACAGGCAGTGTCCGTACATTGCCTTCAACCAAACTAAAGAAAACACTGCATTGATAATAGTGTTATGAAGGTTTACACACCCAGAAACGAATGTCATTGTTTTGACCATATTTCATGGTATAAATGATAACGCAAACACGTCAAACTAATTCCAAATTATTGTGAGATTTCATAACACTTTTAAGCAACTTTTAGGATCCTAAGTGAAACCATGGTGTAAAATTAAAAGCAATTTTTAAAAAGGGAAAAGTACTGGCTTCTGCACATTGATAGAATGATGAGTTTAACCTTAACAAAAGTTGCTTAAAAGTGTTATGAAATCTCACATTATAATGACAACAGAAACTCCACTTCTGATTCTGATCAGAATTTTGTGCCAAATTTGCACGTACAAACCATTTAACAGCTTGGAGTCTTTTGTGGTAGCTGATGCACAGCTTTTCCATTAGAGTAAATTCTTGGGCTACCTTGCATTAACTGCACATATCCACAGATATCAGATGCATGCTAAAGATAGAGATTTTGTTTTATTTTAATTATTATAGTTATTGTTAATTTATCTTGTGCTGTGTGATCCTCATTCCTGCAGATCTGTAACTTGTGATGCAAAACTGAAATTTCCCCGCTGTGGGACAAATAAAGGATTTCTTAATCTCTTTAAATCGGCTCAATGAGATATATATATATATATATCTATGTATCTATATATACATATATATATATATATATATGTAATAGAAACATAATAGAAAAATGTTTATATGGCTTCAGACAAACACTAACAAAAAATTATGATTTATTCATAACAAAGACACCTCTGGCTGGGAGTGTAAAGCACACATGTAAATGATCTAAGGCTCGAGAGCAGAGACCACCCCTTCCGGCAGCAAAGCTATTTAAATTCCTCTCTGTTTATGTCTTTGTGCCCCTCCCTCCCTCAAAGTCTTTTCTCTGCTCTATTGTGAGGTACGGGCGATTCAAGGTCTGGGAGCCTATAGTTGTGTTTATGTGCTATAATTATCTACAACCAAACTGGCTCCTGACTAGTTTAAAACACATTGCATAGCTGCTGTGTTTCAATATTGTGAAGTTAATGTTAATCCTCAATTTCTATTCATAGAATGTCTGGAAATAAGTACTGTATAGAAAACAACAAGTGTAGAACAATGAGAAATTGTTCGGCCAACTTCACTGGTCACTTCCACTACTTCCTGGCTACAGAATGGTGAGGCGCAAAAGCAAGATAATTGGGTCAGTAAATGGATGAAGGGGAACAACGGGGGCCTCATTTGAGTCTCTATGGAAACAAGAAGGGGAGGGAAAGCACTAATTCTGCTCAGAATAGACTGATGAGACATGAAACTATGTTTGCAGACAACTTAAGGGTAACAATGACTCAGGATGGTGAGAAGCTGCTTATTAGGTTCCACCGAGACCTCATTTCTCATGTGGCCACTTGTCTAAAGCCTGGTTCACACGGCAGGATATTTAGGCCGATTTAGACCCGATTTACCCCTTACGACAATCTTAAGAAACGCTCCGATTTCCGTAACAAAATCTTACAGATTATCCTGCCGTGTGTGGTGTGTTAAGACTGCACTCGTCGCTCGGAAGGACATCGGGACTGCTCCCGATCTCAAATCGGGGATATCCAACATGTTGGATTGTTTTGGCCCGATTTCTTGTCGTGTGTGGTGTCCTCCGAGGACAAGCGAGCGCGTTGCCATGACTACGGCGTGTAGCCAATAAGAAGACGAGGTGACAAGCCGGTGAGGAAACACCGGAAAAAAACCAAAACACAGCAGCATGGCTCTGACCATTGCCTTTTCTTTGGATTACGTGTCTTCTCTGTTAACAACAAACTGCACACTATCGCCACTGCATCCTCTTCGTCCGCCATGACTGTTTACTCTGAAGTCACGCTTGATCTCGAGAGATTTTGTGAGATTTCCGTCTGACTTGGGAATGCTCGGGGGGGGTGTCGGTTCGTGTGTGATGTTTGTGGCTTGCGTGATCTTGCCGTGTGGCTACGCACCACACACTGCACGACCAAAGTGGTTAGACGCAGGATTTTTAATCTCCCCGTGTGGGGTCTAACACGGGGAAAAATCGGCCGACAATTTTAAAATCGTCTCGTGTGAACCAGGCTTAAGACAAAACAAAGCCCAGGCAATAAAGTTAAGGAGTTCACATAAAGAGCTGAGGAATAACAATAAATTGAACATAGTACCAAAAATAAAAAATTAAAAGCTAGATAATAAAAACATTTAAAGCTGGAGTACTGTACCTAACTCTAAAATACATGTCCCAACATCTGCTGTTTAAGTAACACTTAATGAACATTATCAGCCCATAAAATGCTGTCTTTATCTACTTAGAAACAATTTGATCTCATTCTAATATAGAGTACTATACCAGCCCTTTCAGTGAGGGATATTTTCTCTTTGCTCATTCAACATGTTCGATTTCTTGACTTTCTGGAAACATCAAATACATCTGGGGTAATGCTGGTGACTGGTGAGGCGAGCACCTCGTTCATGTCAGCTGAGCCCGGTGACGGAGCGTCCTCTCCCGGAGCTGAGGCCGGTCTTGTGGATGGAGTGCTGCCGGAGCTCATCATCTTCTCCACCGGGGTTTCTGTCCTCGACCTTTGAGAAAATGATTTGAGAAAATGTAATTTGTTAAACTCCAGCAAAAATACCTGAAGTTTATAAAAGATGTAGTCTATTTCTATTTTGGTGGGTAATATTAAACTGTGAATCTATAAATGAAACATTTTGTAATCTACTTAACAAAAGTATAGTCTCTTGCCCTAATCTATACAAAAATTAGTTGTATTTATATATTTGACAGGGACAGTACACATGACGGAACATTTCTGGAAATACACCAGATTTTACTTTTACTGGATTGCAGGCACTCACGTTTCTGGGGATTCCTCAAATATACTGTGGCAATCAGAGGTTTCCATCATGAGACTACGGCTTTGGCTTTGTCCACCTGCTCCAGGATAGTGGAAGTTGGCAAACGAGTGAGACATTGGAGACACGCCTTTCCCCACTCCTGTCTCCCCCCCTCCTGCCCTTTTGTCCTGTCCCGTGAGCCCGAACGACAGACCGTCCAGCGCCGGGTTCAGAGAGCGGGACATGTACGTGTCTGCAGACTGTGGGCGCCGCAGGGGGGAGGAGGGGTAAGGAGACAGCTTGCTAATAAGAGGGGTAAGGAGGTCTGCATAGCCGGTTTTCACAGGTTTGACTAAGCGGTCCACGTGGATGTTGAGCTGTTTCTGTTCAAAGGCGCAGGTGAACACATTGTGGGAAAGATTCTGCATCCAGGACAGAAGAGACAGGTCCAAGTCGTCACAGCCGTTACCACACAGCATGTCCACTCCCAGCAGCACCTCACTCTCTGTGATCTCCTCCCCGGTTGCCTTGCTCTGTCCACACAGTTGAGAAAATTAAGAACACGTCTACAATGTTACAATATTATATTTGATAAGCATTTTTTTACCTGGCAAAACTCGACGCAGCATTCATAGAGAACTCCCTTCAAAAGCAGCTGGAAGAGTCTGTCTCCACTGGCTTTAAACCCAGCTTCACTTAACTTCCTGTCTGCAGGAATAAACTCTGCGACCATTATGCAGGCCTCTTCAAAGCACTGGACTCTAGCTGTGCTGGGATTCCAGTCCTAGGAAATTGTGAACAAACAAAAATAATTAGATATAAACAAGAAACAAGAATGAATTCTAATTCATGTGAGTGCATTGTCTTGCCTTGAATTCAGCATGATTGGTCAGTCGAGGCAGAGTGAGCAGCAGACACAGTTTACTGTAGTCTTCTTTTGATGGACAGAACTCCTCAAGTCCATGAAGACATTTCACTGCTTCCTGCATAGTGGACTCAAGCTGGAAAACATGATACATAATTGATATCACATTACCTATATAAAATCCTTTCACACTTATACAACTTATATAAACTAGATACATGACAGGGCTATTTCTGTGTGCACGCCGTCTTCACAGATGTCTAAAGAAGTCTGACCTGATCTGGTTAATAGAACGTGATAGTTCTGGCACAGAATCCCAGCTCAGCCATGTGACAGTAGGCCAGGCGCTCGATCATAAGGATAAGCAGCAACTTGATTGTATTCAATGTGTCCTCTAATTCCATTGAAATGTATTCACAATCATTTAGTTTCATTTGAGAGAAAAATAAAGACTTATTTTTCGGCTTCCTTTTCTATTTACTTTTGGTTATGTGTTACTAACCCTAACCCTAACTCTAACATTACACCTAAAAAAACAAAACAATGTGATAAAATACATTTACATCTAGTTCCTGACTCTAAAAGGGTTTGGTTCTATAACTAGTTTTCACATGAAATATTTGTTTTCCTTCGTCACATCTTCAGATCCGCTTTTTCAGACCGAGAAGTTAAATAGAGAGGACCACGCTCACTCTCAGCCCAAATACTTAAAGATAATGTCTGTAAACATGCATCATTCATGAAAAGAAAAACATGTAGGTAGCCCAGTTCTTAATGTTCTATCCTTCTCTAATTTATCCTGTTTCTTGTTAAGCACGCTGCATTTTTTGTAAGAATTTTTTTTGTCCTTTCTCTCCTTACATTTTGTGGTTCATCCTCTGCAGACATAGCATTATTTACACAAAGAGCTTCTAAAAACTTCTGCTTTAGAACAATGTAACGAAACCTAAAGAGCAGAAAACAGATATTAGATCATAATTTCAATCAATATTGAAGGTACTAAACATCAGACCTTTTTCTGTCAAACTTGTCCATGCATTCAAGTGGTTGGATGAACTGCAAGACCTCATCCCACTGCCCATCAAGTACCAATTGCCTGTTCAAAAATACACACACACATTAGTATCAGCTTTGCAAACTCACACGAAGGCCCAGTGTCATGCAGTTTGTCACCTAGGACAACTTTAAAACACAGGTTTTTATACCTGAGAAATAGCATGTCGTCAGAAAAGAGTCCATTGATGACCCCACTCTCCTTTTCTAAAGCCAACATGCTGATGTGCAGCTTCCTGGAGTTTAGAAAGTCCAGGATCACCTTGATGACCTCCACCTCCTTCACATTGATAGTCTCTTCTGCTGTCATGGTGTTGAATGGCTGAAACAAACAAGGACTCCGAGTCTGAACACATTCAACAAGAAAGATGCTTTAAAAAATGCTGAGTAAAGCAACACTGCGCACATGATAACCGCACAGTATTAATATCTGTCTTGTGATGATTGAGATACAAGCAAGACAACACAACGATAACGTCTGTGGGAACCGACTTCAACATATTAAAGACAAAACATGCGAATACCTCAGTAATAACACAAGCCAAACGCATCACTGCAGTACCGCTAGCATGTTAGCGAGCACTTTTCCTGCTACAAGTCAGTGCCTGAGAGGATTAACAAACTGATTTGGCTCCAATAACGAGTGCATTTAGTAACAACATGCTAGTAAGGTTAATACAATGTCCAGACAAGCGGAATATCTAGAAAGTTCCATTCAAGCTAATCAGGCCATTGAGAGAGAGGCATCATCTGGGGTTAGCCGCGCGGGCGGGCGGGCGCGCGGGCGGGGCGCGTGCATCATTCCCAACACGCGACAACACAATAATAATGTATTTATAGGAATACAAAAGCAAATCTCACCTGTTATATGATCAACATGAGGCGATAATGCAGCTTCCCGACAGTTGCCGTGCTGCTGACAGGCGCTGTGGTGTGTTTGTGTATGCAGGATGTGAGGCTGCCCTGCCCAGTGCCTGTGTCAGCCTGTCCTGGTCCAGCACTGCCTCCCTCTGTCCTGGCCACAGACTCTACACAACACTCCAAACAACACTTAGATACACAGACTGGATATTGTAGTCAATGTGGAGGATCATCAGATAAACAATCGCAATATGTCACTGTGTTTGATAATTAACCCTTTGATTACTATTGTTGGTGGTGTATTTATTCTGGAATGAGTGAAATGTTCAAGTCAATTCAATGCATTTTAATTAGAAAATCAAACACATGAAACACATTGGAACACAAATAAATACTTTGGTCTATACTAATATAGCTAGTTAACCAAACCATGTCTGTCCCTGCATGTAATATAACCCAATATATATCTATCTCTCACTGTGTGAAATTAGACTGACTTTGTGGGAAGTAATACTGTATATAATTTATTTATCTGTGGGATTGTTTTCAACTATGAAAAGGGCTTTATAAATCCTTATTCATTTGCGTTATTGTGTTTCCCCTAGTATCTTTTAATAGTTGCTTACCTTTTAGAATTATTCCTTCTCCAAATAATCAGGGGTCTCCAACCTGTGGCTCCCACCCTCTTTCAGATAGCTCCCCAAAGTTTTCAAGAATGGATTCACATGATCGTGAATGATTCTCTTTTGAGTCATTACGAATCTATTCTAACAACAAATCTTGTCATTAATGCAGGGATACTGTAGTGTAAACGGTAGTATGGTATTGTGCACATGTGTTCTCCGAGATTGGCTGTAGTTATAATATAGATTACAACTGCTAAAAGGAGTAGCTCTCTGCCAGTAGCTCTCCAATCGAAAAAGGTTTGGAGACCCCAGTTTTGCATTGCATTCTGTGGCTTTGCAACCACAGTTTAATCCTGGTTGATTTACAGTATAAAGATAAATACATTCAAACACTACCATCAACGACAAGAGTTTAGATTGCAGTATTTTAATAAAGCTTCAACTTACTAAAACAGGTTTCATGAACAATTGATCATACATAGGAAAAGGAAATTCCAAGTAGGAAAAAAGAAAGATTTTTGCATACCCATGATCTGTCGATTTAACATCGCTTGGCTTTAACAATACTTTTCATCCATCCAATGCTCATCACATTTTGTTCATTCACGGATTTTCCCACCACATTAATACATCACACATCTGATAAATGTCAATAACAAAAATATTTGTATATGCCAAAATATATCTGTACAGTTATGCAAAGAAGTAAGTAAAATACTGAGTAGACTGCATGGTTACACATGATTTAAGTGCTATCATTTGTGTATTTACATTTGTTGACCAAACCAAGAGTTATTTGTTAAGACTGTTGTAATAAAGTGGCGTTTGAGCGTTGTAACTGGTCAAAAAAGACTTATGAAGATTAACAGGACAAATGTGTCAAATGTGCAGACACGGCGAGGGTTCTGTCAATGACACATATCAGATAATGGTCTCAGTCGTTAAAAAAAGCACAGTAAAAGGCCACATACATACCACATAGGCTACAAATACAAGATAAATAAAAAAAAGTTACACAAAGCTACAGAAAGCTGTTCATCTGCATTATATACAAAATAGTAGTTGACATATTTTCAAATCAAAGATACCGTACATGTCAGCATTATCTAATTAAATAAATTAGAGTATTGCAGGTGCGTCCTATGGTTTGATGGCACGTTATCATCACAACATGTCACACTTTTGGAGAGTAACAAAAATCACCTCCAAGACTTGGCACTTCACTCTACACACATACACAAACCATTTACACGAGTTGTAAAAAAACATGCCGGTCCTAGCAGCAAATGTCTTTAAAAAAAACAAACAAAAAACGGCATATTTTCAGATCTTGATGAGTTAAGTTTTAATGACAAGAGAGAAGACTCGACCTCCGATCCGTATGCATACAGTCTTTCTTGCATTGCAAAATAACAGATTACCGGTATTTGAACAGGTGCCGCTTGTTTCAATGTGCAGGTATGACACAAAACAAGCATAAGGCCACACAATGGACTAGAAATCAAAGTGCCTCTTGCGGAGACTTGACATTCAGTGCTTCAGTGGTTCAATAAGGCATTTGTCCGCCTAGTATTTTGTTCTCTTTTTGGCACATTAAAGTTCATACCCAGTCTGACCAATGTAACACTGTGCCCTCATGAAGTAATGATGCTTTCATTTTCCAGTTGGGGAACTCAAAGAAGGTCCAAACTGCAGGAGGAAAATCAAGTCCAGTCATTCTTGTCATTTACTTGGGTTGGAGCTTTTTGGGTGTCCCTTGCTTCTTGGTTTGCCACAGATGCCCTGCAATAGTGACTGCGTCCACATTGGCGGACATGGTCTTGGCCGGGATCTGGCTGAACTGTTTACGGTCCGAGTTGTATTTATAAATGTTCTCGATCATCTTTGTTGTGATACTTTTTGGTCCTATTCCTGCCAACTTGACGATCTCCTCGGACTCTGGGCAGTATGTGTAGACAGACCTGAACTGGCATCCAGCGTCACGAAATAAGACCAGGAAGTTGTTGATTTCAGACTTTTCCATTTCCTGAGAATACAGACAGAAGTAAGTGTGACATGTTTTTTCCCAGTTTTAACAAAAGTAAATATGCTAATCCAAACTCACATCAAGTATTTTGTTCTTTTGACCTTCGTTGACCTTGCCGGCCAAGCAACAATGAGACAGAGCGTTCTGAATGATATGTTTGTTGGATTTGGCACTGGGCTCTTTGTAAAGTTTGGGTCCTGCAGGAGTAAAACATCATCATGAAATAGGAGTTAACTATGATCCATCATAAAACACAATGCAATAGAAGTGGTTGTTACCGGTATAGTCAGCGTTGGAAGGAGTAGAGGAGGTGGTGGAGTCCACTTCCCAGTCCTTCTCATTACGACTGCCAGCTGAAGGACAAGAAGAAAAACCTCCCGCAGAATCTGGTCTGAAAATTGTCACATACAAATGCAACGATGAATAACAAATACATAAAATACAAACATGAGTGGACAGTTAGTCACAATGAATAACTGACAAAAAACAAAAGCAATGTTCAGCCAAGCAAAGCAGCGTATGACCAGATTTACAATATTCATGAGTAAAGCAGAAGCTCTAGACCAGCCCAAACAAACTGTGGTGAAGTGTGAGCCTTAAGATAAATCATATATAACATGTTAATACAATGTACACCGAGGTCTAAAGTATCTACACCTAGATTTTCATTTCTACAAAACATTACTGACCTTCCCTTTTTGTCTTTGGGAAAACTCAGATAGAAGGTAACATGAGCAATTTTATTGCCCCTGACGGGAGCATGCAAACAAGACAAGGGGTTAAAAAAAGTAATAGGTGCAAGGAAGGATACTGCTTCTTTCCACGTAATTTAAGGAAACAAGGTTGACAGATTACAAAGACCTACACTTATAACACATACAAGGTTCCCAAAAGATTATAAAAGTGAATCTCACCTGTTGTTCTTCTTGTGCTCCAGCTGATTGTCATTGTCTGCTAAGTTGAGAGAGGCCAGAGACACACTTGACACAGAGTATCCTCGAGGACGCACTCCTGAGGAAAACACGACCACAATGATGAATTATGCTCTATAAAGTGTTTGGATGTTTGTGCAGCTGACCTGTGCCCCTGTGGGCTGGTGTGGACTCCAGGACGTCTCTGTGAATGGATGTAGGCCTCGGTTTCTTCTTAAGACTTCCAGCTCGAGGTTTGACCACCTCATCCATGTCCTTTAACTGTTTTCGTCTTAAAAACTCACATTTGATATATTCACGGCGGGCCTTTTCTTCCTCTTTTTTTAGCTGCTCATCTTCTGCTTTTAAACTGGAAAAACAAAAACACAGTTAGCACTTTACTTGGAATAAACTATTAATATCAAAGTCAAACCAACCGTGCAGCTTCTCTTTTCTGCTCCTGATCCAAATCCTGTTGTTGTTTCTTCTCTTGAGCCTCTTTGTCTCTCCTCAACTTCTTCTCTAGTAAAGCTGCTTTCTTTGCCGCCATATCATCATCTCCCTTCACGTCATCCTGATGTTGGGGCAAAGACAAGATTTTATGTTAGTTGAGGCATATCCACCGATGACAGCTGAATCTTTGAAGATTGCACTCATGAAAGTCTTATATTAGCTTCATAATTTATGAAAAAAGTAAATGCATAATACACTCTGGAACCACACTGTTGGGTCTGTGTTCATTGTGTAGTTAGCCTAGATACACATTGTATTGTTTTTGATCTTCTCATGGTTGAACAGCCACAGCTCAGCATATGTTGTGTCAGAGTGACATTCCTTTCCAGCCCCATAAAGCATTTTGCAGCATTGAATGCATACATAGTACATAAGTACACATGCTTTTATCAGCTGCACAGGCTAATGAAATGTAGTTAATATGTAAACTGAAGTTTATGAGTTGCCCTAGCCCGACAGTAACCGTAATATGTGTCATTGTGATTTTGTAATTTACCTTGAAGAAGAATCCACAGCACATTTTTTGATCTCCAAATGTCTCGTCCCCTGTCTCTCCCTCTTCATCAAGTTTGAGTTCAGTCAAAGCCACTTGGACCAGGTCCGCTCGGGTTGGCTCACATTGGACCTCCGCCACTGGCTGCTGCAGCACTTCTGTGTGTTTTGATTGAGGGGCCTCTTTATTAGACACACTCTCAGTCTCTTGGTGAGGCTGGATCTGTGGCGTTCCTTCTGGAGTGCCTGCACTCTTTTCTGAGGACTCCTCTTTGGTTGTTTCTTTGTCGTCTTTACCATCACAGTTTCTCATTCTGTCTGGTGTTTCATCATGACCCAAATAGGCAAAGGAGCTGAGCTGGGATTGTTGTGGGGTGAAGCGCCTGAGTCTGGGCAGACTGTCCACTGATGTGGGAGTGTTCAGCATTCGACTGAAGGGTGTAACCTTTAAGTCATTGGGGCGAGGAGTCCGCGGAGTTCTGGCATGGAAAGAGGCGGGTCTGCGCTTAAGTCCAGATGAGGAGCGCTCTGGAGCTTGGTGAGAGCCAGTGGAGGACAGGTTTGGAGACAGGGACCCCACTGAACCACGGCCTGAGCCTCGGCCTGTGACACTGCTGCTACGCAACTCGCGCAGTTGTCTGTGCAGGAACCACAATGACATAAACATACTTTAGGTTTTCTTGTTTCATTATGATTGTGTCACAAAGGCTCATAATGATACACACCTGTGCGGAGATGGAGCTGGAGGAGGAATGACCCAGGCCTGTTGTTGTTGTTCTCTCATGGCCATGATCTTGTCCTGCTGCTGAGCAAGACGCTGCATCTCTGTTTGCAGAAAACCTAGTGAAGAATTCAACCTCTCAATGGAGCGGGTGTACTCTGACAAGTCCACTTCACCAGCAGCAACACCTGTAAACATGTCAATCCAGCATTTGTCAGAGTCCAGTACCATGAATATCACTATGCATGGTGCAGTTACCCACTTCCATCTTCACAAGGAGATTTTGGAGCTGCTCCGTCAGGTTTGCACCGCTCTGCTCTTTCGATGTAGCTTGGTCCTGCTGAGTTTGGAGAGGGTAATGATTCCAGGGAGGGCTTTTCTGTTTCTCCAGGGCTGAGACTGTTGGAGGGGATGACACCCTTTCGTCTCACAACATTTAGAAATGCTGTTCTGCCCATTCTCTGGCGATGGCGTGTGAAAGCAGCCTCCACCTTTAGAAGCCATCACAACAATACCTGTCAATAATTTTCAAGTCTCGAGTTGAAGACTTTTAGCAAGCAATACCTTCTTTTTCTGAGCCTCAATGGCTCTGCGTTTTTCTTCCAACTTCATTCTAAGTTGTATCATTTCTGAAGCAATCAGGTGAGAGGGGTCTCTCTGGGTTGATGTTTTAGGAGATGGAGATATGATTGGCAGGGGAGGTGTAGAAATCTACAAATAAAAAATAAAAATACAATGTATTAGTCAAAAGAGGAGAGGTAATTTGTAAACACCAAAGCGTTCAGGCAGCATAGATACATGTCTGACTGAAAGGTTTAAATAGTTGACAGGTCACATGAGTATGTGAGATCACATGGCAATACTGTAAACAGATTAAACATATCAGAAAATCACCAGTGATTGAAACGGGACAGTAACATTCACATTAAATGCAAACCACATAAACACTTATTTGCATATAATGAAAGTCACTTGTCACTCGTGTTGACAATGCTTCCTCTTGTTTGAAATGAGTTTTTAAGTGTCCTCACCAATGTTGAGTGTTTATCCATGTGACAGTGTCTTGCACTATATGCAAATTAAAATGTGACTCACTGTCCTGTTCCAATCGCTGCTGGTTTCCTTCTGTAAATATGTATAATCTGTTGAAATTCATGTAAACCTTGACACAAGTGCAACATATAACTTATTCAAACCTTGTCTTTACTGCCAGGACAAAGACTTTTTGCCATTATGCAATGGTGTGTAAAATAAACAGACGTCCCTCGGAGTCCTCTTTTTAGACTTTTTTTTTTCCACGGCATTGAAGAGCACCTGGTCAGCACCGGGCTGAGCTTTCTAAGATCCAGTGAGCACTCCTAAACTCTCTTTCTTTGAATAATATACAATATATGGTTTGAATAAGAACATTTGAAAAGAATCCAAACAAACCTGAGAAGGTGGAGTTTTTGCTGCACGCACACATGGGACATTTAGCTCTGAGCTCTCGGGTGTGGTTCCTCCACTACTCCTTCCCTCTAACTTTCTGAACTTTTGCTCTGCAAAGCTGGTCATGCGGATCATGGCACCTGCTGAGCCAGAAGAGGAAGTTGAACATATTGTGTGGGACCGTGGCAAGCTGTGTGCAGGATTTGAGCTGCTCCTGTCAGCTCCTCTTTCAACATTAATATCAGAGTCAAAAACTCCCATCCGCCCAGCGTTCCGGGAGCCTCTGTCTCGCTCAGGGAGGGGGCAGGACCGAGTCATGGCCTCCCAGTCCTGGTCAATGTCTGAATAGTCTCTCAAAGAGGAGTCCTCGTCCAGGCTTTGGATGTCCTCAGTCTTGACGTGGATACCAGTGTCCACTTCCTCTGAGGCGGAGTCATGCTCTGGGAGCAGGGCTTTGGCTTTCCCCTGGTCCTCACCATGAGCTCCGGGTGGTCCTGAAGGCTCTGTCCCATGGAGATAAAACCCATCCCCAATCCCCAAACTGGCATGAGGCCTCTCTGTGTCGTGGATTATCTTTAGAGCCTCCTCAATACTCGGAGGGGTGGTGGGACTAATATGACCACTGTTACCAAAGAGAGGAGCAGAGGTACTTTCTGGTAGAACTCCGTTTGAGTATCTGTCAGAGAAAAAATAATACACATTTTAGAAAATGTTGTCAAAGAGGTAATAAGTACAAACAAAAAACTAAAAACGTTTTCATAACCTGCTTTGGTTTTTGATGGAGAATGTGTGGTTTCGTCCCACTGGTTTATGAGGCATGCAGTCTTCCTCCTCGACATGTCCCCTTTGCCCATTGACAGCTAAAGGCACCAGGGAGGGGCTCTTCATGTTTCCTTCAGATGCATAGTGAACTTTGAATGGGATGACATCACTGCTGACTGAGCGTGTCATATGAAGAGAGAGGGGTTCACACAAGGGAACAGGGGGACCCCCATCCAGGGGGATCTCAAAAGAAATTCCTTGAGAGGAAGACCTACATTTGAGTTTAAAACAAAACGTCAAAACAACATTTTTGTTGAACAGAAAATCATGCAATTCAGCCTACACACCTTGTTTCTTTGGGCCAGGTCCCATCTTCAAAAGACAAGGAGGTGGATCTTTTCATTACACCTACAGAAAGTGTTGCATCATATTTTATAAAGTAATTATAGTGTCCTTTTTCAAAAACACTGTAAACATTCTTGCTTTTAGCCTGAACCACTAGGCTGTGTAGAATTGTATTTAAAGCATTGTACTGCATTGATTTTCCTTTGACCCACACTACGTTTGTTAAATGCAGTGACGTTGCGTTACTTACACTGAGCTGAGACGTTGGTTTCTGCATAGTTCTGTTTCACTGGACTGGTTACAGGAGCCATATTACTACAGGACACTTCACACGCTGCAGCACAACGACAAGTCATTTATGAGGGAGGTTTGCCATTTACACAGAAACAGAACATTAATATCCATGCTTATATTTTGAATTGCTGCGATGTTAATGTACCATTTGGGTCAAAGACTTTTGGCTGCACAAATGAGGGTTTCACCACTTCGAACCACCAGAAGAGCTCGGCCATAAACACCAGGTAGTTACTCTATAGAAAGACAAAAACAAGGTTGAAATATTAACACAGCCATTGTTCTCAGTAGTGATAAGAATGTAACGCTTCAATCACAATATAATACGCTATATTTGACATGTCAGTGAGGTTACATCAGCCAACTGTTGCTAGGGAACTGACCCAGAGGAAAAACAGGTTTCACCATCGTCCGTCATGCACCTTTAGGCTTTCTACCTGGAATCTACATTGTTTAACATTCCCTTTAAACATGTATATGTTCAAGAGCTCTAAGCCATCCATTTTATTTATTTATTTGTTTTATTTGTTCATTTGTAGGTCATAGTTATAATTGTTTTCTGTAGCCATTTGCTTTCCCTGACATGGAAAATCCTTCAGAATACAGATATTTTTATGTCAAATGCCAACCTAAATACTTTTGTATACATACATAGAATGCAAAAGGGATGAGGTTCTTTGGAAAGTCAGCTGCTCCATCAACACTTTTTACTCTTATAAAAAACAAACCAGTGTTGAACTATTCACTGCAGACCCATTATAGTCACAGAATGGAGCCTCTTGTTTTGGAGAAAAGAAAGTCCCAGGCGCAGACTGGACTTGAATCTGAATGATTCAGAATTTGACCCACGCTTTGGTGCATTCTGTTTTCCCACACAATCTGCTATTCAACTAAAACTCCAACAATAAAAGAAAATTTGTTTAAAGACCGTCAGCTGTAAGTGACTACGTTTATTTATGACTTGGTGTCTTAACACTGTCACACTTGTCGGTCTGGTTCACTTTAACTGGAATAATTCTGGTTCACCTGATGCAAAAGTGCTTTATTTGTGGATGTAAAACCACCAGACAATTGAAGTGAGCGTGTGTCTCCCAGTCTCTAATGTCAGTTTACATGTTTTGAAACTATTTTTGCCCCAATCAACCAGACTAGTTCCAGTTAAAGTGAACCAGACAAACAAGCGTAATGTACTTATTTGGTTCCTGCTGAGAATCTAGTATTGGAAAAATAATAGCTTCATATAGTTACATTTTACAGAGCTCATCAGCAAATAAGTTAGATGCTAAGATTGGGATTTGACAAAAAAACAGCAGCTGCAGTCGCAAACTAGTACCAGTGATACTAATTCATTGCAATCAAATGTAAACACATTTTTTACTGGATGCAAAGGCTGCAATTATTTAAGGCTTGCAACAAATAAAATAAAAAACAAGGATCTGAGATTTTTAGACAAAAATCTCAAATGAGTATTGCCTTTTTCTTATTAGTGGAAAATGTCTTCTTGTTCACAACTTCTAACAGCAAATCTGCACAACAATACAATCTTATTCTCAAATGAAGACACAAAAATTGATTCAAACGTTTTTCACATTTTTGCAGGGTATGTAAAAATACTATATGTACTTGTATGCATGTACTGTATATGTACTATAGTTTGAAGTTGAAAAACCTAATGTATTGTGTTTTGTTGTTGCTGTTATGCACGCTCACTAAACATATATTGTGAATGTTAATGGTAATATCAATGCGAAAACTCACAATTAAATTAAAATTGTACCGCCCTATTGCACACACATAAAACAAGCCAACAATGAGTACGCACCTTTATGGAGGCATGGGCGTAGAGCAGGTCCTCCAGGCTGAAGTGGCAGCAGTGGTTGAGATTGTTGGAGCAGAAGTCCTGAACCAGCTGGAGGTTGTACAGACTGTCAGCCAAAGACATGCTCTCCTTCAGGCAGATATCTGTGAGAGCAGCGAGGGAGGGGCCGCACACATCCAGGCGCACACGCACAAATGAGAGCAGGGAGGCACAAGATAACAACAGTTTAGAGTTTTAAAAAAGGCCTCAAACATTCCTCAAAAAGCTCATAGATCCTACAGGATATTTATCTTAATTATAAAGTGCTCATGTTGTGGCAGGAGTAGCATTTCTGCGGCCGACAATGCGCATCATATCAAAAAACATGTTCTAGAAAAATATTATGAAACATGTAAACATAAAAAGGTGCAAGAGCTTATAATCGAACCCTAAGTTGTGGTCCTATGTTATAATATCCCCCTGTCATCAATCTGTCTCATAGATGATAAATTACTGTGACTGTGTGCTCCCAAAAGCTCAGAACATCGTTTGGGCAATCCAGCTTCTCCTTTAGGGGGGTTAAACTGTGGAACTCTCTCCCCACCAGTCTAAAACTACAGACTAACATGACCATCTTCAGCAGAGAGCTCAAACAGTAGTTAAGATCAAGACAGACTTGTTCTCACGTGTACATTTTATTGTAATTCTTTTAAATGTCTTTTATCTTCTGTAGTGTAAAAGCCCCCTCTGGACTAGTGTTGAAAATTTTCAACACTCACAGCAAAGCATCTGGTTCGTCCAATGTTATTGTTATGTCCATATTAAATAAATAAATAAAATAAATAAATTTCACCAAAGCATGGGCAGATGTTGAATGTTCTTCTCATTGTGTCATTGTATATTAAACGCTCATTTTCAGATTTGTTCAAACTGAAGATTGGGAACAGTCCAAACAGCACATCTGGCAAGCATATGTGTGAGCTCATGTGAACTACAATCAATCCCAGAAGTCAGTGCATACCATGGAAAGTTGTTTATGTTTGAAATAGCTTAGGCGTCACATCCTGCTCATGACCAATCACAGCCCAACCCAGAGCATTTTTAGAACAACGGCCGCAGGAGCAAGACAGAGGGGAAACTCACTGCGTAGACTTTGTTACTTCATGTCTCCAGTCAACTTTCCATAACCCTTTGGAATTAAAGCTTACGTGTACACTTTTGAGGCGACCATTTGTTATAGTTTGTACACACTACAATATACAATACAGCTTGAGACTGAACATTAACAAAGGTTGCAAAAAAAGTGATTATGAGAATGAACATAAATCCACCATGTTGCAGCTTGTCCTTTGAGATAGGGTTAAACCAATACACTGCTGGGTCTCTACAGGTAAAAACATGTAACTTTATATTCTCAGAATCATTTATAATGGGCTCTAAATGTAGTATTTCCCATTTGAAAATCTCCATTAGTTTACAGTTGAAGTGCTCGCTCTCTAGCTAAGATTCATTTTCATGGAAATATAGTGAATGTTTAGTGTCCACAACATGAACCATACTATGAATACAAGTTTCCTTTAGGCTTAGCTCAGGAGAATGGAGAGAAAAGCAATCATTGTAACATCAGACCAAAGATGAAATGACTCAGTGTTTCCCCCATTATGTTCCATTTCTAAGGGAATAAATAGACTCCAGCCTTGTGGGTAATAGACAGTGGGTGTGGCTGCAGACAGGGCCCACCTTCCAGAGCTACGGCCTGTGGGCAGTAGAAGTGCAGCAGAGCGGTCAGAGCACAGCCGTCTGTGTTGTCCTTCAGCAGGTTGTCCACCAGGGGGAGCACGGGGGCGCTTAGTTGCTGCGCGAGCTCTCTTCTGTAGCGAGCCTGAAACCATGACAACACAGAAAGACATCACCTCAGTGTCGTGATGACGCTGACGTGCATGCAATACAATCACACATATGTATTTATACACACCAGCAGCGGGTGCATAAGACAAAGTGTTGACTATTTGGGTTCTCAGGCACAAAGGACTCAGGCTCAACTAACGGGAAATCATGCAGAAGACACTTGGACCACAAAACTATTGTAAACTACAGTTCAGATGTCTGTAGTTGAACCATTGGCCAAGAATAGCACTCAAGATAAATGCATTCATGACATTAGTTCCACTTAAACCATAAACACGTGAGCAGAGTCACGCTTCATTTTACAGCAAGCAGTTTTTTCAAAGCAAATTACAGCATTATTTAACCTATTTCATACAATGGTACTGTTTATTTCTACAGTGGTCATTAATGTGTGGTCAGTATGTTTGGCAGATTAGACATGGGTGTGCTGGAGGGATGCATGCAGTAGGAGGTCATTTTGGGGTTGGGATATAGGGTCAGATTAATGTCTCTAACGAATAAATGGACTTACAGGTACAAGTCTCCAGTACCATTTGTCTACAGACTGAGTGGATGACAATAGGAGACAATGAAAGAGGGGTTAGACAAAAGGGGCTACGGCACAAATATACAAATTGAGCAAAAACATTACATTAGATGAATCCTTCCCTCTTATTACACTGTCTGGGGTTACTGTTTTCTTACTGATGCCTCATTCAAAAAAACCATGGGACCTTTAGATAAAAGAATAAAAGCCACTGATAGCGTGATGTATGTTATAAATTGACTCGACCTAAATCCAATATGGCACAGAAAAGCACTGACCAATAGGTTACAGTTTTCCACGCCAGTTTAAAAGCATTATTTACACTTTCTGATTTGATTCCCTCATAACAAACAATGTGACAACACAGCTATTTCAAGAGCTTGTGGGGGTATACAGTTATCATGTATGTACCTTACTTTGATCATTCAAATTGTCAACTAGAACTATATGATATGGAGGCTATTGGCACGATGTGAAATTTACACCATGTGAATATTATGATCATACATAACACAGTATGACAGTGTATCATGGAGTTCTTGATTTGCATCAGGCTTAATGGGGAATTATGCAACTTTATATGAGAAAAAAGGGTACAGTTCTGCCTTTTTGACTTTGTAGTGACCCATTGGAGATTGGGGAGCAAGGGGCCTTAACTTTTGATCATGGTTGTGTCTACAGAGTTCCAGGATCAATTGTTTTGTAGGTTTTCTGTTTCTGTTGTCCCACAGCAGAGAAAACCTTCCGAACTTTTCATCCTATAGCATCCATAAGACCGCTGTCATGGATGGTTAAGGCTCCACAAGAGCCACTAGAAAATGTGCAAAAACATAACCCTTTTTGAACATAAAAAGATGCATAATACCCCTGTCACATGAATAGCCAACGCATTGTAATTGTGTTATGTACTCTACAACTACCCAAATGAACCAAAGCAAAATATTGCCAACATAGCCAGTAATGCCAAAAATAGATCAATAGAACATAAATACATCAGACTAATGTTGACGTACATGTGTAATGATGTACTTGGTGTTATAGATAGAAACATAACCACAAGATCGTTTGTGGGCTGTTATATTTACAGAATTTCAACACATAGTGAAATAAAGGAACTTAGTCAATATCATCATCAGATTAGATATATCACCACAACCTACGTATTTGTCCACACGTTCTACCTTTAAACCCTTGTTAACACCACGGGCCATGACCTGATAAGACAATGCAGTGTTGCATTATGGGTGAGGGGTAAGTGGTGGAGGACAGTAGCTGCTGCTGTGTGTCCGCTGCAGTCACATGGGCCTTACATAACTGTGAACACTGTCTCTGTGTCGGCTCCATCACAATCACAGCTGACAGTGTCCACAAGAATCCTCCACATTATACCAACGCACACGGTCTGTCTGCTCCGTGTTGGGACTTATTGTATTGATTTATAGGGCTGCTCAATCAATGAAGCACGTAGAATGAGAGCATGTCTATGAAAGCTCCATGTCTGGTTTTGCATTGAGCTAATTAAATATCTTTGAAAAGTGGCTATTAAAGGTGCATGAATCTTCCCTGGTGTCAGAGTAACAATCCATTTAGGTTTATTAAGTTAATCGATCATTATTCATATGGCACTTTTCATATGACAATGTAACACAAAATTGCTTTACAGTTAATTCAAAACATTGACCCATTAACCCACCCAAAAAAACCACCCAAACAGCTCACAGACAACAGTCCCAGCTATACACACACACACACACACACCCAAAACATCAAACCATAAAAACATAAGGCTGAGGTAAAAACTAGCCGAGAGCCACCTGCAGCCACAGGGGGCAACACAGGACCCAAAGGAGAGAGATCAAGCTCCAAACCTCCACTGAGCCAGAGCCCACCTCCGCTCCCATTGGATAGGACTCCTCCAGATGAATTTGTACTTTTTGTATTAATTTTCCTCTCCACAAAACATTAACAAGTTTGCCTTCTGTTGTCGACCAAGTTTGCGTATCATTAAAGTTGGTCATATAATTCATATAAAACAAAACATTTAAATAGTAAACCAAATAGCCTTTTGAATGAAGTTTGTCTCTGTGATTCTGTCTGCTTGACCAGAATTGACCCCACATTTGGCACTGGGGTTTGCTTTATGCTAGGGTCCATCTAAATGTTGTTGTTTTGCTTGTAGTGTTCCATGGTGTGGCACATATACAAGCCAGGCTAAGTGACAGGTCATATCTGCGGAGAAGCGTCCCTCTGTTAGAATGGATAAACTTCTGTATGTCCATAATATCCACGTTTTACATCTCCGTGGCAACAAGCAGACAGCAAGTAGACTAGTAACTGTATTCAAGGGTCATCTATTGAGATACTACATTGCGCCACCGGAGCAGAGTAACTTTTCACATTTTTGGTACTATTTTTAGATTGTTTTGACCAATAAACAACTAAAAAACAATTATATTTCTTCTTACTTTTTGGGTGTTGTCCTGAAGCGTGGCCTCTTTCAGCTTGTGCTCCTCCAAAAAGATGTCTCTCAGGTTTTCATTTACCTACAACGAGAAGAGTGATGAAGAGGTCACATTTCTCACAAATATGTGCCGCACGCTCAATGGAGGGGTTTGTGTCGACCAAATCTGAAATACCGAAACCTCATCAAAGTCTCAGGGTGAAAGTCGCTTCAGTATAGAACGCTTCAGTATAGATTAGAACTGACTTGTGTTACTGTTAGGACACTTTTAAAACCTTATTATGTTTTTACTTTGTTTGCATTCAGTGACATAAGAAAGGCATGAGTCTGCGAATTTAGACTTTACCATGAGCAGAGCAGGCGGCATGTCTTCAGGGCTGTAGACGGACAATAAGCTGTGTGTTTTTGTCCGAGTCTGACTTTTCATTAATCTGGCATTTTCATCTTTGTGGCTGAAGGCTTCCAACAAGAGCAATAAAGATGTTTGCACCAGAAGAACTATAGAAGTACAGCCAAAAGACATTTTATTATAACTGCCCTTTTAAAACAATTGGTGCATGATAATCTGGCACTGATTAAGTTGATGTGTTTATTGTGACGTATGTATACTGGTTTCAAAAGAATAATACATACATCAATAATTGTTGTGTCACAATGTCTGAATATTTGGATTTTTTACAAAGAAGAGTGTGTGCCTTGCTTTTTACAGGTAAAAACACAAAAAGCTGATTGTGTGAAATAAAGTGCATACGTCTGCTACGTACTGGTGATTATTTATGACACCTGTGATCTGTTTTTATTTACAGTGGTCCCTCGCTATAACACGCTTTACCTTTCGAGGCCGCACTGTTTCGTGGATTGTCGTGTGCGTGATTTTGCCTGCTTTTAAAAAAAATTATACTCCAACAAAATCATAAAACCGGACTACTGCAATCTTCCCGTACCCCTCAGTCCCGCTCCTACCCCTCAGCCCTGCTCGGAGCCTCTGCTGTTTGATTTTACAGTGCATGCACGGCTTTTGACAGCTGCAGTAGCGCTCAGACCTACAAGGAACAGGTTTGATATTCATTTTAGAACGTAACCCAAATGGTAAACGAGGGACCACTGTATTAGGTAATTTTTGAATCTCAATGTTGATCTAGTAAGAGGGACACTTTAGTTAACCAAGTTTATGCAACTTTTTTGACTTGATTTGGGCTGCTCTGAGCTTTAAAATCAGGTATGACATAATCCCCACATTGATACACATTTGACAGAAGTGAAGTTAGTTTTACTGTCTCACAAGTTACATTAGCGTCATAAACTAAATGTTGTCACACACAAAAATCCAAAGTATATCCGTAATAATTCAACAACTGGATCCCAGAGGCTTTGAGCTTTGCAACAAGGTACAGCCTGCATATATTGGTGCAGCTGGAGTTGGCTGGATGTGAACTTCTGCATCTTAATGGTTAGAAAGACCAATGGCCACAATAACATGACACTAAGGGATGCAAATTGTTTTGTTTTTTCTGATCTAAAACAATGTTATCAAAGAAACAAGTTTGTGTTTTTGCCCAGTCCTGCAAGAGAGATCTACGCTCTGCCAAGTGATGTCACCGGACGATGTAATCAAAGGGGATAAACAAGAGCGGGGAAACGTGACCTCTGTACGGACCTTGTTGACCCAGGTGATGATGGCGTCCTCGGTGTCGTACGGCAGCTCTAACGTCTCCGCCGCAGAAAACCTGTTGATGCAGGCCATGACCCGCTCCACGCTCACCATCTCCACAGTGTAGGCCATCATCAGGGTGTCGATGAGAGCCAGGTGCGAGCTCTGTGCAAATACAAGGACGACATGGACGATGCATCATGAAGACGTTTGCCCATAACGTTTGAATGGCTTTTATCAACAAGAATGCACAAAAAAAATATTACACTCACACAAATATGATTTTTTATGGATGGACAATATATCAACCACAATAAATGTAGCAGCTGATATGTGTACAGTGCATAGAATGACACTGAAACTTCTCCACTGTGGGACAAATAAAAGGTTCTGCTCTTATACATGTTTCAGCGGTGAACAGAATCATCTAGAAATGTAAATGTGTTTCAGTAACATTTTGTGAACAAATCAGATCGCAAAAATACTGCCTATATCTGATCAGAAAAGCCAAAAATACATGTGATAGAACTAATCCGTTTTGAGGGATAGGAACTAGTTACATGGATTGTATTATTATTGTTTTTTATGTGTGTGGATTCAAAGTTAGATACTCCAGCTTTAATGAGAGGGGAGCAAACAAGGTGTGACTGAGCAAAAGAGGCAAAGTGAGGATGGGGCTCGTGAAAGCTTTTATTATGATGCATTTGATCGGTTTTGACAAATATCAGATTGTAATGCAAAAGGATGTATCATTGTAAAGCGCTTTGGGAGACCTTGGTCTGTAAAATGCGCTATTTAAAAAAACATTACTTACTTACTATATAATTAAGAGAAAAGATCTGCTCATACAAATAGGTTAACACAAAGTATTTTACACTGCTTTAGAAACACCGTCTTGAAAAGCAATGAAATTAAATGTTTACAACCATCAACATAAATAGGCAAATGTCAAGCCGTTGTCATTTATTAGGTTATTATAAATCATTTTGTTAATGTTGAAGAACAAGCATTACACTTTTGACACCTCCACAAAGCGTGACATTATCCTGGCCTTTCTGATCTCATTCCAGGCAGGTCAGACCTGAGTCGTTCCCTTCCTTTTCCTGTCACACCACTTTTCACAAAAACATGTGGCTGTTTATGTGTGCTGAGCTCAGCATCTCTGCAGTTCAACACGAGGCTCCAGATCCCAGTGACTCAAGGAAAAAGCTGCAAACAACAAAACAGACCTGTATTCATGCTCAAAGACCCAATAGTCCGCCTCAAATTAGTGGTTTTCTGAAACAAGAATCTGATTGTCCAAAGTTTCCAAATAGGAGGAAAAACATTATTGATTACTTTAAAAGACTGCAAAAAGTACATTCACAAACATGATCAATTCTGTTTGTCTCATATTTCATCAACCCACAAAAAAAAAAAAAAAATTACACAAATAACAAAATTCCCTGAGACCACTGACCAGACAATGTGACAAAGGTCCTTGGATATGCAAACGCAATTTTTTTTTTTTTTACAATACTACTGCCTAACCCAAACCCTACTTACTTTAATAACTCATCCACACAAAGTTTTTTATCAGGAGATGAATTGGTCGACCAATACTAGGAGTGTTCGTTGGTCGACCAAAAGCGGGCATGACAAAAGATCTTAACGGGTACTGATGTGCCTGACACCTGTGTGAAGTGGGCATCCCACTTTTTCAAAACATGTTTAAAAATTGTGTTGTTTTTGTGCTGAATTTGTGCTGATTTGCGCTGCAGAAATTGGAATTTGTGCCGCTGTCATATTTTAAATATTTCACATTATATGTTACAAAGAGTTTATGAGCCTTGCACCCCACGAACAGTTCTGAAATATATAGTTCAACAGCCTTCAAAGATGCTCTCGGACATTATGTGGCCTACTGCAGGAGACCCTCTTCTGTCTGGGAGAAATTACCTTAGTCGTGTCATAACAGTATCAGAGAAAAGTAAAATCTTGTGTTTTTCACTAGGGACTAGCGTCATTTTAAGTTTTGGAACGTTAATTAAACAAGTCTTAACAATAGGTCTACTGTGTTTTGCTTTGAAAACAGTATATTGTAAATAACTATACTATAGGGAAGCCAACGATTAATCAAACCAAGTTGGGTCAATTTGGAGTCACTAATCACTATGAACAAATCCAAAGTACCACAAATATACATATCAACAGCACAAATTAGAGCAGAGTTATCACAAAAAATGATTAAGCACTGGGTTGATTTGGAGAAACTAATTGTGAAGTGCAACGGTTCCTAAACACCATAAAACATATAATGTGAAATATTTGAAAGGTCAGGAATGCCAGACTCACTATGCAAAACAACTATTATATTATAAAAAGATGTCAGTTCAAATTTCTGTTTATAAAACTGAAGTAAGAACAAAATAATCAGCTAATTTCTTTCATCTATTGTCCTTTGTTGCAAATTTCTCATGTTTAAATTTAGAATAAACACAAAACCTGGTCGTCGAGGATGCCATCGGCCGATCATTCGACGAAACGACTAAAACTTGCAGTCCAAATATTTCAAAAGTGGAATTCCTGGACATTTCTGTACTTCTTACATATCAACACAATATTGTTTTAAATAGTTTTATGTTCAGGATATTACTAGATATTTGGCATAGCAAACATTCCCTGTAGACTTACTGCAGCTGGATTGACACAGACATTAAGGAGAGAGACGGCTAAAGGGCTTCACAACTTTCATTTAACTCGTTCCAGATGCATTTGTCAAACATTAGCAGTTATATCTTAAATAATATAAGTATGTTTTCTGCTGTGAACTGAAATATGTGACCTACACTGTGCTGCTGTTGACTAAAGGGCTGGTGTTTAGTTAGTAATGTTTATTTTTGCACAGTTCAACAGTTCATATGAGAGTCCATTTCATTCGCATTGCATCTTTACACATCGTTTACATATATTTGCAAACACTATATATGCAGGCACTTGTAATCCTAGTAGTACTTGTATTTATTAATTGTAATGCAAATATATATACAACTTTTTCTTGATTTGAGCAAACGATGAACCAACCAAAACGTTTGCGCTAAAAACAAAACACATCTTATTGAAAATTCATTAGGGAAAATAACAAGTATTGGCACTAAAAATAAGAAAAGAAAATCCATGTTCTTTGAAAAAATCTAAATAAAGTTCCATCAATAGAACACGTGTCTTGCCTAATCCACATGACTGACCTGGGATGGAGCACTAGGCAAAACCAAACTAGGTATGACTGAAACTACTATTATTCGCCAATGTTCAATAAGGATCCTTAAAAAAAAGGTAATTATGTACAAGCGGCAAGAGTCTATACGTTTTTGTTCTTCCCACTCCACTTCGAGCTGATGAATTGTAAACAAACTTGCAAATATATCTGTAAATATATCAAAACGTGCTGAAATGGTTAAATATTGCTTATATGTAAATCTATGCATGTTTGTTTCTGCTCAAAAAATATATGCATGTTAGTAATCTAAATTCCAAATCTGATAATCTTATAGTTGTCGCAAAACCTTTTGTTAAAATCGCATTTAGGTACATTTGTCCCAACTACTTTACCTTTTGTTGACATGAGTGTGTGGTACAGACATGTCTAGACCACTCATGGGGACAGGCAGACATTCCTTATAAGGCATTAGCACTGTAGCCACTGGACAACAGCTGTAAAGAGGTTTTTCTTTTTTTTTTAAACAAGACTATGTTAAAGTACAATGGCCATTAAACATCAAAGCTGGGCATGCATAAAGAAGCCTTGTCCCTTTGTGTCTTGAGTGCACACGGGACAGATCTGAGAGAGCTGCACTTGATTTTATTGACAACCTGTGTAAATCTGTGTCAAGTACATGCAGGTTAATGATGGAGAATTGTTCCGCTGAATGAATGAGCTTGTAAAGTTGTATCTGTTATAGCCCCCATATACAGTATACTTTCCTTTTGACTACTTCTACTTTTGAATTGGACAGAAGAAAAAGCGATTATGGTTACATGTATTATTCACTTTCATCTGGAAATGTCTACCCTCTCCAAAATGTGATAATAGACAGTTTAAATTTTTCAGAAAGAATTGAATCTGAATCTTGCTAAATTCAAATTGTAACTTATTTCAATCTAATTATTCTATCACCAATTGTTTTGCGTTGTTCTTTATGTTGTGACACTGCAGCCTTCACATGTTCTCACCAGACATGCTTTGGCTCCGCCCCCCTCCATGCCGCAGTAGTGCACCTCACGTCCTCCCTCTGCTTAACCTCCCCAATGCTCCCAGTATTTTACGTCTTTTCCTTCCAACAGATGGTGGCAGACTTGGTTTTAGGCATATATTAGCTGTTCGGGAAACCAGGCAATACGTAATGGGGCTCTGCTGTTGCCTCTTCTTTCATTCATTCTAATGTGGGCAGAGCTTCCCTGTTTCTGGATCAAAGCCATATGGCAGCCCTTTGCTTCCCCTCCTCCCCTCTTGTCAAACATGTGAGTTTTGCTTTTTTGTACATTATACAAAAGTACTTGGAACCAGCCTGTAACCACAATAAAGCCTACACCTAACAGCTTGTGTCTACTAACTTTATTGACATTTTTCTTCTTAGCAGACAAGGGGAAAAAAGCGGAGAGTGACATAAAATCATTAAGCCACTGCTTGGACCTTAAACACAGTTTCAACGTAAGCTCTAACTGTAGTATTTGAGCATCAACACAGAACAATAATGAAAGAAAAACGTGAGGAGAGGCTGAGACAGAGTGTGATACAGTAGCATGAAGAGGAGGGGTGCACTGCATTGCAGAGTCCAATTTGGAGTCAGCAAAAGTGGACGCTCTAGCCATATGTTCAGTGCTCAAAGTCATCGGCTAATTATGAACTTTAAGACATGCCTAGAACAATATCCTACATGTATTTTACTTCTATATTATAAACAAATAGTTGAAATACAAATTAAATTATATTTAATTAAATTTCAAATATGGCTATGAGAATATCTAGAATTTAAAGATGAAACTATGACATAAGTGCAGTTCCAAACCTTCCATGGACACTATAAAATCGAGGATAGGGTCCGTGTCATTGAGTTTGGCCGGACCTGAGGGACTCAGGTCCACCACCAGAGGGTATTCTGGGGCCTGGTGCTCAGAGGTCAAAGGCAGTGGTTATAGACAAGCCTTGGTGACTCAGTCCACGCAGGTGCACACAAAAAACAGATCCTCACTTTCAAAAAAAAACATCTTCAAAGAATACTCTAGACTCACTTCTAGACTCCAACAGGGCCTACAATTCTCTGCAATGACAGTTTCAAAAAGGTTATCCTAAATTCTGGTGCCACCCGCCAGATCCCGGCATAACTAAGCTAAACAGGACAGGACCTGCCATCACAGGGTATTGTGATAGCGACCTCTGGGGACACCAGGTGCCACAGTGGGCTTGTAAAGTGCCATGATTGATGGTAGTCAGAGAACCAGATGGCAAAAACTGGTTGCCTCCCTTCTGTCAATCTGCTTCAGGGCAGCTGTGGCTACAATGGTAGTTTATCACCATGTGAAGTGTCTTTGAGTGTCCAGAAAAACGCTGTATAAAACAGATTCATTATCAGTATTTTACAATTCTCGGCTCACCATGTGGATGGGCGTGCTGGTCAGGTCCCTCTCAGTGACCAGTCGGTCCTGGTCGGTGACATACAGGCCTTTCTGGGCCAGAGCTTGGATGATGGCGTTGTGTCCCAGCAGAGGTTTGACGGCGTCACTGCGCAGGATGAGGCTGCCCGCTCTGCAGTACAGCTCTGCTGACTGCAGGAGGTGGGCCACGGGGGGCTTCAGGTGCTCCTGGTGATACTGGTCCTGATAGAAGGGCTCCACCAGCTCCTCTGGCACAGCATCTACAGCAACAAGAGTTATTTTAGTCAGTTCATGATCCAAAACACTATCATTACCACTGAAGCAAGCAGTCAGCACGATACCAAGGCAAATGTAGTAGTTGCTATGGTTTCCTGACAATAAAGGCAATGCTCGAATGCAATGGCTATAATAATATTCAGAACTTTTCTAAGGGGTCTGTGGAAAGTTACTGTAGTTTGTTTTTGAAGTGTTACCAAAAGCAGGCTGTTGAACATAATAGACAAGCCAGATGGTTTTTCAGCAGCTTTTTCCAACATTTTTTTTCCAATAATTTTTTGCCCACTCATAGGAGAACTATACAAAACTAAAACAATCCAATAAGACTGACTGTGCGTAATGTGTGTCTGATTTCGCTTATTTCTGTAGTCACTAGATTTTGCTACTATATTTACTAGTGAAATATCATATATAAATACATCTGCATGTGTATATATTACTTGTGCCCATCAGTGCCGGAGTGACTCATGGAGCTGTCATTGATCACACTACGTTTAGGAATGCATCTAGTGTAGTCCTGGTGTGTGCGGGGGCAATTTATTTCAACTTCTGAATCACCCGACAAACAAGGTTATCATCCGAGGCAAATACATGAAGGTACATGTCTTTATAGTATCTTTTACAAGGGATAGGTTGCAAACTTATCCATGGGCATTATTGGTAATAAAGGGGAACAAAGAGTTGCTTTCTTGAGTTTTAAAGTTGAATGAGGACAATAGATCAAGAAAATTGACAATTATTTCAAAACTACCATATCATGTTGCTGCAAGAAAGATGCAAAAATTTTAAACTTTCCTTTAGAAACTTCATTCTCTTTGTGAATCTACTCATTATGATAAAACTATGACTTTTGCAGCTTGCATTTCGGCTTCAACTACAAACTAACGGAGAACTAAAACTACTGCATATTGTGGTAATCTTAACATCTTATTTATTTTCTTTTCTTTTGAAGACATTAGTTATTTAGATGCCTGAATTTTAAAACTCACTCAAAGCTTGTGATTCTACCACAACCGTTTCCCAGTAGTGGCGGTTGGTACAGCGCCTCTGGCTTGTGAACTAAAAGAGCTATTTACAGCAGCACACAGATGTTAGACAACTCCTGCTTATACTTCATCAAATCATCCATCATGACTAGATTATATTAGTCTAGAAATCACACTATCACTTTTAGAGATTGTATTGCAATTGAATCCAAAGTTTAGCCAGTGTAAGATCGACCTAAAAGGAAAGTTTAGGCCGTTATTGTCATTTTATTTTTAGACTTTGCCGTTCACATTGAGTTTTGATCTTTTCTCAAATGATCCTGGGTGTGTTTAAAATGTGCGCAGGGCGAACTAGATTCCAGCTTAAAAAAAAAAACCTTTTCTCGTAACTAAAAATTGAGAAGGAAAAAATATGCTAGGTGGACTGAAAACGCTTTCTTTGTGTGGAAGAAAGGAAACAGTCAGGAAGTAGCTACAGGAAAGGCAGGCATGGACAAGACTGCTGCTGCCGGAGACCCCTGGGACCCTAGACACTTGTGTTCAATGTTGATCTCTTCTACCATTATCATTCTGAACGTGGCATTAGACCTGTTCCAGAAAATAGATCTATTGTACAGCTCTAAATGAGATTAGGGTTTTATGAAATTAGATTAGACATTTAGAACGTTGATAACAATGTGACTTCACTTGGTCTTGGTATAAAAATGTGTTGACGGATCACGATCATGTGACTTGGCTTTCATCTAGTTTGAAGCCTTCATGAAGATACTATACAAATGGACTCACTTCAAAGCATTTTCTCTTGATATTTGAGTGAGTTGTTTCCCTGTGGTATACAGTAATAAATAGCTAGTCAGTAAGATGGTCTTAGATTGGTTCGGGACATATGAGATCTTCATTTATTTTGCCCAGTTCAACAAACCGTCAGGGATTTTCAACAAAGTTACTCAGTTCATTCATAACACTAGTAATCATCATTTATTTAAGGAGAGGATAACTTATGTTTTTGAACCTGCATCTACATCTGTCTTCATTGTAGACAAAAAATATCACCAACAACAAGATTGAAATCAAGTCAAGAAGTAGTTTGTATTGCTGGTTAAAAATAAAGATGTACATGACGTGAGTAGTCATTATGGGGGCTTCATTATGCAGGGCTGGGGAAGGATAGTTTCAGAAAGAAGGCATACAACCTTTTCTAAAGTGATTTACTGCTGTTTATTATAAGCTTTCAACATTGGTCCATCTGTTCAATCTGGGACAAGTGGGACTCTGAGGACTGGACTGAATCAGGGCCACAGCTCTCATCTTGTTTCATTTAGAGTTTAAATGGTGTCACAAGAAATGTGGGTAGATTCAACAACAACAACTTATGCGACCTGTAAAGTGGAACGTGTTTAGGTTAACTTTGATGTGCTTCCTCTGTGTGTGGCAGACCCTTGTCCACACAGGAGCAGATGAAGAAACAGCTGTGTACATGTTCTTTTCATTGGAAGCTAGAGCAAAGTAAACCTTTGGGCTCCAGACTGGAGTCACTCTGCCTTAATGACACTGAGGTCTCTGTTAGCCCAATGTGAAGACAGCAGCAACAACAACAACACTGCAGCAGTGAGAAGAGAACTAGAAAAATCTATCTTTATAATGAAAATATTAATATGACTGAAAGGTATACTGTAGGCTGGATTACTGTTCTTAAATGAGATTGCCTTCGTTAGATCAGAACACCATCAGTTCTGTGCACTTTATTATGTAATAAAGAGATGCCTTGAGGAGAGAAGGCTAACACAATAGAGCTCAGAAGAGTGGAAGCTCCAACATCATTGAATGTGCTGTACAGCTGAGTGATCATGTACATCTGTGCACAGACAGTAGTCTGTCATCTAAACACTGGGGTTACATAAGTGGCTTTGTAGTAGGGAATAATTAGGTAAATCCCAGCTACAGGTTCAACTCTAGCATCAGAAGTGATTTAGTGGATGTGACCTATGATCTGAAAAACTGGCAGAGCATCATGAGGATGACTCAAGACTCAATGAGTTGTTTCCATAACAGTATAATCCCAGTGAGGTTAACCACCTACCAGAGCCAAAGGCTTTGGCCACAAGCCACGTCAGGCTGCAGGAGATCTTGGCCCTGGTGAAGTCATAGTGGTCAAAGCTCTTGATGGAGGGCACAATGTAAGTGCGCTTCATCCCTCTGTTGTCTGCCGCATCTCCCATCTTCCCCTGCGTGAGTCAGGCCCAGGACCGCTACAGCTTCAGCCAGAGGAAGTCCTGGCTGCGGATGACATCCCGACCAGAGGAATTCAATGCAGCAAACCTCCCCCTTCTCCACCAAAATATGGAAAACTTTACGCTGACGCACGGCGAGTTGGCGTAGAGCAAATGGTCGCTCACATCAAGACCATCTTGAGTTTTCGTCCAGCTCCTTACAGTCTGGAAGCAAAATGCAGTTTTCAGCAGGATTCCTGAAGATCTCCATTCTCTGGAACAAACATATTGTCAGTGTAGAGCAGCGTGTGTTCCTCAGAAGCACGACCCACGAAACCCACGCAAGCTCCGGAAACACACAACTCCCTGAGCCTCCATATTCGCCTCTTTTCGTTCTTAACTATTTTCCTCCTTTGCCTCTTGATGAAGTCTCTGCGCTTTTCCTGCCGCACTGGTTAAAGAGGAGGAGCCCACAGCGCATGCGCACAACACCCACCCATTCCACTTCAGTCATGACAGAGTCTGGAGGTATGGTCTGGAGGAGTACTTCATTATACTGTATTATTATGGAGGGACTAAGTCCCACCCAGGTACAACTGGATTCTACTCATTTATATGAGTAGAATCAGCTAACGCTAATTGAATCAACATCACCATCAAATTCCCAGAACATAGTAGAATCAAGATGTGTCCCTCGTTGAGAGTCGAAGACTCTGGGATAAACCTGAACCAGTTTGAATACTCAAACATACTACTTCCTGTTTAAGTTTATAGGGATTTGTGTTGTCTTGTTGCTATATTACAGGTCCTATTCCCAGTGGAATGTGCCTGAGCTGTCAATAGGGGAATTGTTAAAAACCCAACATTTGGTCATTCAACAGTGTAGGGGGTCCCTTTCTCTGTGCAGAGAGTGTTACCATTTATAATTAGCGTAAATGAGTCATCAGAGGCCAAAACGAATGAGCCTCGGCTTCTCAAAGAATCCAGTCACTTTGAGCTCCAAAAGTACTTGGACAGATTCAGTTTGATTTTTATCAGATCAATGGAGTATTCCATTTTTGAAAGAATGTTAAACCTTTGTTGAAAAAATAGGAACAGGTCGGTGCCCCTTTGACAAACAAACAGTACCTCATTACAACTCAGTTATTGTAGTTATTGTACTGTAAGACTAAAGAATTGCCAAAAACATGTTGCAACGTCAGTTCGGGTTGAGGTTCGTCTTTGCCTTGCATTTACATCAGTTATATCACTCAAACACATGCTTTCTTTTCTTTTCTATACAATGAGTTAATAACTCACAGTATTCAGAAAAAATTCAAACAGAGTAATGAAATGCTAACCGATTACATTCTCATCCCTTTATCTACCTATTGATAATAAGAGGTATATTTGCCTTGCATGGGTAATATATTGTCAATAGTAATTTAATAAAACGAAAATCAAGGCCAAGGCTACCCTTAAATTTTAAAGAAAATGGCCTAAACTAATGTCTCTTTATTTAGCTGTTAAAACCACACATAAAGGACCACGTGGATTCACAAAACATTTAATTTGTTTGAAGCCGATAACACATTAGGATCGACAGCGTGCTCTAGTGGCAGAATCATGTCAATACAGTTGAAATGTGATAGTTGTGCCATGTCACCAGTAGATGGCAGCCCTTTAACATATAAAAAACAGACAATTTCTACTTTCTGTGATCAAAACTAAATCACTGTATGAAGATTTAGTGTCATATACAAGCATTTACCAATTATAACATTTAAGTGCAATTTTCTAATGATAATAGAAGTAGTATTGGCACTGGCACATTTACTGTACATCAAAAGCCCTGGAGGAATCAGAGATAACCTTAGGTTCTGTGTCTATTTAGAACTACAGTAATACATTTCTTTTCTCAGGCATATTGTTATACGTAACAATATGCTATGTAGTTTTGTGCGTTGTGTCTCACTCTTCATTCTTCATTTCCCATCCTTGTCCCTGCTCTCTTTGCTCAGGTCCACTGCCATTTGAGAGTGGTCCCCAATGATAATGTACTGTGCATTTTCAATGTTGATGTTTGGGTGCTGTTGCCACCCACGTCTCCCATCAGGTTCCACCCTCTGATCTGGAACAAAGTACATCTTCTGATTCAAAAGCATTCGCTGCTCTTGCTCCAGTACATGAACACTTCTTAACTCCTGATTTTCCTTTAGTTGCTGCTGGTTGGAGATTTTTAACTCCTCCTGCTTCTTCTTGAGGCTTTTCATGTTCTTTTCTTTCATCCACTCATTTTTTTGACGCTTTATCTTAACTCGACTCATTGCTTGTTGTATTTTCCTCTCAAAGTTTCTGTTTTCCACCAGCGGCACTAAGGTTTTGATGACCATGGGGATGTCTTCTCTGGGCATGGCTTTGCTTTGCGGCAACAAGGGTATCACAGTGTTGTATTTTGGTGGATTGTCGATAGAGTTAATCAGAGCCGAGTTGGTTTTCAACTCCAGAAACTTGTTGAAGTTGGTGGTGAGGAGCAGGAGAGTGAAGGCAGAATTGTTAATAGCATCCTCCACACATATAAACTCTGCCTTTCCAGCTACGGCAAAGTCTTCCGAAAAGGTGGCGCCATCACTTCCAATAATGCTCTCAAGCCTGTATTTCAAATCCTCTGCCATATCTGCGTCATCTTGTGCATGCAATATGACAAATGAATAAAACTTGGTTTCATCTTCTTCTAGTTCTGTGTCTTGCTCTGCTGCTGGTGGTGGTGCTGGTGCTGCTGCTGCTGCTGGTGCTGGTGGTGCTGGTGCTGCTGCTGGTGGTGGTGGTTTGGGAAATGAACCTGGGAAAGATTTACTGATAGGTGATAGTGGTATTTTGAACTGCAACTTTTGGTCTACAGAATTGAAACTTTGAGATGGTTCCGGTTGCATAGGTATTCTAGGGCCAGAAGATGGAGCAGTACTTTCATTTAAACTGCCTGCTTTTGTGTTTGGCTGAGCAGCACAAGTAGGGGGCTGACTTATCTCCAGCTCTGAGGGATAAGAGGAATATGAAGGATATGAAGTATGGAGTGAAGAAGGCCCATTGCTACTTGCATGATGCAGTGCTGTGCTTTTTCCCATATTTGATTCGCTATCAAACCCAGATACTAATTTCAGTTTGGTGAATGAGCATAGAAATTCAGCAAACTGAGGTCCACAAACGTCTTTAGCTTCTTCCATAAGCAGGTTGTATTGCAAAACATTTGAGTCGCTTGATTCACTTGGGAGCGCTCTCACATAAGCCCGAATCAGATCAGTCCTATCGCACAGGCCATGTTGAGTTAAAACTTTAAACATTCGGGCCAGTGTTGTCAAAGATTGCGGTTCTTGGAAGCGGCTACAGTGGGACTTAAATACTTCAAATTGACTTGCACTCTGCTGCCATTTCTCTGACAGCTGTTTCGCGAGGATATTATCTGCATGTGCCCGAAGCTTATCCAGAGCCTGCACCTCTCTCTGCAGAAGGAAGAGGCATAGTGCGTGCACAATGTCCTCTTCAGTGGAGGAGCCCAGCTGGTTTGTCAGGCTGCTCAGTCGCTTTGGAGGAGTCTTGGTGAGTACGTCTATCACGTCTTTCACTCCACTGCCTGGATCTCCTATCTCTTGCTGACTCATTTTTATGGCTCAGTCCAACTCTATGCCATTACATGTCAGGTATGTGGCCTTTGAACAGGGAGGTGCCCTGTCCATTCATCCTGTATAAAAGAAAAGCAAATATAATGTTACAAATGTGAACTTGATCTTAGAATGTCACAGTATTCTGTCATATATGAGTTCACGTTGTAAGTTTGTTTTGATTTTTTAAAGCAAAGTGAAAGAGTGAAATAACTTACTGATACTCAGCGTGGCAGCCAGTTGAAAGAAGGAAGTAACCAGGAAAAAGCGGTCCCAGCTTTTTGACGACACAGTGAAACTAAAACCTACTGACAGATTTGTGTGACAGTAATGAGATGTAAAGCGGGTTTGAAAAGCCTATTCAAGTGCCAAATGTGTGAGTGTTGTCTGGTCTGCGGTTATCATGCTTCTGATAGCCACTGTCAGGTTAGGCCCTTATGGTCTCTACAGATATGATGTCACAGGATATGGCAAGTCACAAGGGACAAAAAGGTGTTGATCTATCATACATCACAGGTGATCCTCACAGACTGTTGTCATGCTCTATACACGATCTGTATTCAACAGCCTGATACTTGTCAACAAGAAAAAAATTTAACATTGTGCCTACTTTTGATGGCAAACACAATTCGAGTTCCATCTGTTCTAGTCATTCTGAATAATGGATGACATTAATTCCAGTCACGCTCTGATGTTGTTATTGAAGTGGAGATGTTTGAAGGAATACAATATGATGTGTAATGTTTATGAGCTGATAGTACACGGTTTATCATATGCTTTTGGCTCATTCAAACACATGCAAATATCCAAAATATCTTATTCTGCTTAAATCCTGCTCTTTCTTTGTGCACAATGGGAGAAGCTGTGTGAGAGCGGGTGTATTTTTATCCTCAGAGGAAAGCTCAGCCCTGTATTTAGCAGGGGTGGGGTCACAGCAGTCCCTCAGACCCTCAGAGCAGCGCAGACAGAGCGGCTCTGTTCTTAAACTGCGGCTCTCATCTGTTTACTGTACACACTGCTGAAACTCAACCTATATGGTGTAAATATGTTATATGTTGTATTTGAAGGAAAGAAAGAAAGAAATATTTAGAGGTAACATTTTCTTTCTTTGTTTCAATGTTATACATGACAGGCGCAGAAACATAACTTTATTTGATAACAGAAATGTTCAGCAAATATATTTCATATATATATAAAGAAAAATTCCAGGTCTTTTTCCCAAGTTTTTTATGGCCATTTGACAAATCAAATAAAGATCTGATCCAAAGGGAACAATGTGTCATTGTGTTTGTCCATTTCAAATCCATTTCTCCTGGTTTAATTACACTTCTCATTGATAACACATCATATTAATGTTAATGTTAAAGCATGTTGGACACACTTTAACATATCATAATGTAATTCATGTGTTTACTAACAATAGCAGTTTTGTACAGTCTCACATACTGTATATGCATATATATTTATCTGTGTTGTAATTCTGGCCCTGTTGCACTTCTGGTCAGGTGCTAAACTGCATTTTGTCGCATTGTTCTGAACATTGTAATGAAGTTGAATCTAATCTAATCTATAGGTCCAACCGTTAAGGCTCTGAATGAGCATTTGTGTACATTCAACTCTACACTTGCTGTCTGATAATAGTTTATAGGCCACACTATATTACAAGTTAAAGTACAATTAAATGGCTACAATTTGGAATTAAGAGTACAAACACTGGTTTCAAATGTTCACTAAAAGTACTTAGAGCCTTAAAGTATGTTAGTTAATTTGTGTAGGCTATTAATTAGTTAAAGATGCTAACATTATGCAAGTAATTACTAGTGAAATTTAGTAAAGTATGATTTTATTTACCTGAAAGACTTTGTAAGCGCTCACCATTTTAAAGCTGACAGCATTGTGCATGTTGACCAGATCTGAAAAAGTGTCTGTGTACAAGGAAACTTTAAATAATTATTTTTTGATGGGTTAGCTGTTCGATTGTCGGAGCAGATACTCAGTGTGTCCTATTTGTAGATATAAGGTCTCAGAAGTTCAGTCAGTACTATTATTGCTGAAAGCTGTTGAAATGCTATTTGCAGACAGTGCTCAATTAATAGACATTCTTGTTATTCACTGAAGATGTATTTGTATACTATATCATAGTAATTTGTACTGCATCTGTATTTGCATTGTTTTATCGTTCAATGCAAAGTACTTTGTGGTCACGTGTTTTGAGATGATTAGTTATGAGTAATGTAAACAGATGTCCAAAGATAGTCAATGACCTCTAAAGTATATACATTATAAATATGAATGTGCAATTTTCCCTTCCCCACTCCCCTTCTGTAGAAAGAAGTCTACAACCACAACCTACTCTGAAATCTGTTTGCAAACTCTTAAAATACATTGTAACTTTTTGTTGGTCATTGCTTGTGAGTCCCCTGCTATATGCAAACAGTGCCTAGGGATAATCCTCCATCACTTATGTAACGCCCTGCCAAACGTCCATCTTGATTGAGGTCACTTCTTTGAGCGAGACACGCGCACTGCTCGCAGCTGTGTTACTCAGCCACATGTGAATGTGTGTTCACCTTCCACATCATGGTAATAAGCAGGACTGTCACTTTACCCATGCAACGCCAAATGCACTGTGACCGCCTATTATCATGTTGTATGCTGGCATCAAAACATTCTCTTTGAGTATTTCTAAATTTAAGTGATTGGCTCGAAGGCGTGGGAGAGAAATGTGGGTTAGACACTCAAGGGTCACAAATAAGGGGCAGGCTGAAGAATAGGAGGCCCTTCTTAGACAGGGACTAAAGATTAGGATGAAAAGCAAGTTAGTGGGGGATGCTGCTGCGATATGCTCCTCTTCAACACATAGCATCATCCATATGCCCATGAGAGAAAAATGTTAGGGGTATGTGTAAAGAGAATGCTGCGGAGAGAGATAAGAAATGCATAGATACAGATAAGTATGTGCGTTTATTAGGTGATCGATAAAGGCTATTTGATGTTTGCATTTTGTATGGGGCCACGCTCGTTTCCCAGCTACTGAATTCGTCACACATGCTAAGAGAATTTTACACACTCCCTTTGACCCGGTGAATATAGGTTCCACTCCACAGACATGTACATTCACATACACATGCACACATCAGCCTTTCAAGCCTCCAAGCATGCCTCAATCCCCTTTTAGGAGCAGTGAATGAAACACCTGCAAAATGTCATTCTTCACTTACAAAAGAACTTATATGAAGTGTTCTCAAGTGTAAATGTTCACTGTCTATTCCAGCGCTATAGCCATGTTTCAAACCAGCACAACCAACTTAACAATATCAAAATATATAGCTATCAGATTAAATAGTATTTTGTTGAGTTTGTGAGAATTAATGAAATTTGGACAAGATTTCAAGATTATTTCCACATATCTATGCATAATAAAATGTTGACGCAAACAAGAACTAGCCACATTTGCAATGCTGTTTGACTATGCATCCACAGAAGCAAGTTTTCTGCACTGAGCCAAAACACATTAGGCTCAACTTGCAATGGAACTTAAATCATGTTTCATAAAAACATGTACCTTTGTAATTAGAAAGAAACCATTTAAAATTATGTAAATACTGGATGAGAAACTTGTGAGTCTTATGTTCTAAGTGTATACAAATATTGTACACATTTATACAATGTATGTACAGTAGGATTAGATAAAACAATCTTTCTTCCTCCCACAGTGGGTCAGTTTTAGGATTATAAACTAGGGATTAGGGTTGGGGGTTAGGACATGGGCAAAAGTGCTTAAGGTTTAGTATATTACACATGAATATATTATTATATATACTATAATAAATATTATATCATATATTGCGACTGCGGCTCCAGAGCTCTGCACGCAGCACAGAGGGATGTTATAGTCTTCACACTATATTTATATAAACAGAGGAGGAAAGAAACGTCCAAAGGGCCGCATCTGGTCCATGGGCCAGGGTTTGCCCACCACTGGGTTAGGATTAGGTTTTTTTAAGGTTAGTAAATTTCAGTAAATGTCAGTATTTCAGTGTTATGTCCACAGCAAAACCAATGCTGTGTTTTTGTCGTATACAGAATCCGCACCCCTTTCACTTTTTGAACATTTTCCATGCTAGGACCACAAACATTAAAATAATACTCAATGTTTTACTTTGTTTCTTAATAAATAAATAAAAACTGAAATGTGGAGTCTGCATCCACCCATATCTGGTCAACTGAGATTAGATTACACACAGGTGGACTAAATTTTGTCAGTAGGTCAACATGTGATTGTTCAGAAATATTCCGGCAACTTCTGAAGGCAATTTGATGCACAAAAAGGTAAAGGGCATAACCCACGTTTTAGTTTTCTTTAGTGTGTGACTTTCACATGAAATTGCTATTAAATACATTTATGTTTGTGGTCGTAGCATGGAGAGAAATGCACCCCACTGTGTGCTTATCAGTATTTTACAAACACAGGTTCATTGGTTAGCGCTGATATTCTCCCAAATTAAATTTTAGTGAAGTTTCAACGTATACTAAGTGTCATGTTTTATTTGTTAAGACCTACATATAGGTCATATTTTATCTCCAAGGCCTTCCACATTGGTTCCCTGCACACAGAAGTGACACATCTCTGCAATATCATGGCAAGACTTTCTGCAGATGATGTCAGGGGCCGATCTGAGCTAATGTGACAGCTGACTCACATTAAATCGGGACGCAAAGGTAAATGAAATAGCCTGGGGATGCGGCAGAGATGGAGAAAGACATGTCTACTGTACCACACCGGACCATGCATGGCTGAGCATTTAGGCCAGGCCAACAACAATGCATTATACAGCCTCTAGTGATGGCACCCCCCACCTCACATCCACACAGAGTCCCATAGACATGCACACACACTGACGGGCTAGGCTCCTATCAACAGAAAGGCTTTGATCACTCTGACAGGAAGGGCACCCGCCTCGGAGGAATTAGCTTACTCTTGGCTCGCTAAAAGAACATCCACAATAATCACAGAAGCAACATAGAGAGAGAGGCAGTCTGATATTTAAGTTCATTAATATGCTAAATGTATGAATATGATTTGTTCCAGTTCAGCGTCCACAGTGCCATGTCCATAGTGGCATGATGATAACAACGAGGGCCGGGAAGTGCAGAAATCCACGCTGTATGTATAATCCGGTAGTTTTAATGGGCTAGTAATCTGCATAAGTCATTTACATAGACATTTAAATTAGCTCAGCATCCACTTTGAGGTTTTATGGATATGGCTTTACTAGGGGGTTTTGATAAACTTCATCAACATGAGTTCTTGTACACTGGTGATTTTAGCAGACCAACCTTTTAGCCAGGAGTGTATATGTCTTTTAGTAAGTAGGCCACTTTAGTTAGGTTAGGGATTCAAGCTGTTCTGAGCTTTAAATTTAAGTATCACTTCGCTTTTGACTCTGCTGAAGCTGTTAATTACTTGGATTTTTTGCCACAATCAAAATTAAATGTTGATATAGTCAAACAAACTCAGCAACTGAATTCATAAACTGGAGCGTGTCTTCATTGGCGGAGTCTAAGTTGGCTGGATGACTCTGTGAACTTGTTTATCTCAGTGGTTAGCAGGGCAGAGGGCCACATCAAAAAATGCAGAGGGCCAGACATTATTTATTTATTTGGATGGGACAGTGTGTACTACTGAACACCAGTGTTGTAAATACATCAGATTGTAGCTTTGGGTCAATTTCCATCTGTTGTCCCACAGTCGCAATCACAAACACTCATTCACCCTGAACTATTGTACATGTTTTTAGAGGTAGAAGAAACCAGAGCACCCAGAGAAAATCTACGCAGACACAGGGAGAACAACACAAACTCCAACGAGAAAGGCCCCTTCTGGAGGTGGATTCGCTCCCAGGACCTTCTTGCTGTGAACCACAAGTGCTAACCACTGAGCCATGAGTCGCCTGATTGAAGAGGATTCATAAAGCCAAACGAGATGAGATTCCAACATGTAACTTCCCAAATGTATGCTACATATCGCTTGTCTGAATGTTTTGTAGTATGACATTAAAGAAGTATTTCTATCTGTAACGATGATGTTTTCTTTTCACTTATGAAACAAATATTTTCTCCTGGTGATGTCACCTACTGAGAAACTATATGCAAAACTATAGATACATGACTCTCATCGAGACAATGAGAACGGTAGTGTATATTGTATCATATTACAAAGCCAGTGTTATTTCTAACATAGACACAACAGATACACAACTGAACTGTTCAGTGCAACATTAATGGTCCAGCTCTAACTGCTACACAAATGATTTAGCCTTAAACAGTTACACCGTGTATCACTGTTGACCATTTAGAGCCTCGCGGAGGCTCAGCTTGTACAGCAGATGCACACAGTTGAAGCATGCGAGCCATGAAAGCACTGGGAAATTCATTACATATTCCTACCCCCCTTTGCTCGCCATAATCACCACAATTAGCAGACATCTGCAGTGACTCCGAAAGCCGGCAGTGTATTGAGGCAATCAGAGCAGCTTCACCCACAACAGCGGCAGCAACCCCTTCTGTGACGGGCCTCATCCTGGAGGAAGGGCTCCATTAAAACTCTACCATTAATTGAGACGGAGAGTGAGCTGTTGGCACAAGGAGAAAAGCCAACAGGAGGCAGAGATGGAGAGGCAGCATGGAGAGAGGTGGTCTGGAGAGGACTCAGACATGAGGGACAAACATCAGCTATAAACTAGTTTTAAAATACTGGAAAATGAAGAGGGAAAAGTTTGCTGGCAGCTTTGGAAAACCCTGCCAAGTGAAATTAGGTCAGGTTCCAACCAAAACCATATTTGGTTGGAATTCAGTTTAAAAAATCTTCAATCGCTGCAGATAGAATATGTAAGTAAAAACATTAGCATAGAATATAGGCAGCCTCTCACTTTTGGAAAAGCTTGACTAGTCCATGTTCACTCATTCATTTTAGGACCAAAGGTTTTAAGAACAATTTCTGATCAGACAATGATTTTGTGAAATCAACACATTTCTGCAATATAATATGCAAAAGCAACATTACTGCTCCAAATGTCTTCTCTGAGACATCAGTGATCATGTGCAGCAGCCCACTGTATGTCCTCCATCTGTAGCGGCTGACAGCTCATTACTAAAGCAGTTGGAGATGACACTGATCCCAGTATGTTACAGCGCTGGTATTACGCCTAACTCATCACTATAAAACTGAAAAGTAACACATTGGACACTTTCTGTGTGTAAGCCTCAAACGTGCACATGTCATAAGTCTAAAGTGTGGAGGGCACTGTTGAATCTCCCAAAAGAGATTGATTTGTATTCATGAAATCCATGTATATGTATAACTGAGCTGGAGGCCGATCAAGTGTTTTTTTGTGGTGGAATTTGTTGTGTCATACTGTCTGTTGTCATGGTTATAGTTATATATTTATCTCCACATTCCATGATAGTTACGATATCAAGTATGTAAGTAATCCTTTTACATTTTGTAGCGCTTTTCACAGACTAAGGCCACAAAGCGCTTAACACTTCTGGTGTGTTTTCAGTTCACTCCACACATGGTGGTATGAGGTTTACTTTATATTTTACTGCCCAGAGGGTGTATTTGTCCAGGGCATTTGACCCTTCCTGCAAATCCACTATAGTGCAGTGTTCCAGGAGCAGTGGTCAGGGCAGCGCCCAAAGACAAATCTCCAGATGTTGATGATCTTGGTCAGGACCAGAGCTGGACATTTTTTTCCATCTTTGATGCATGTTTTAGGTAGTGGGGGGACACTGGAGCACCAGGAGCAAACTCACTCAGACATGCGGAGAAGCAAACTCCGCACAGAAAGGCCTGAGCCAACACAGGATCAAACCCACGACCAACTCAGCCACACCCATGTCGGCCTGGTCCTTTCTATGTGGAGTTTGCACGTTTCTCCTCGTGTCTCAGTGGGTATTCTCCGGGGGGATCCACTAGTCCTGACAGGTTGCCAGGGGAAACCACACGGAGGAAACAGATAGAACATGCAAACTCAAGGCCCAGCACTAGGAAGTTGAAACCAAGGACTTTCTTGCTGCAAGGCGAAAGCTACAATCACCACCATGTTGCCTCAAATAATTGGAAGACAGGATTGTTTTTTTTAATTACGTTAAGATTTTTAGGAACGTCTCTCCAAGTGATGATGAAATAATTATCAACGTTCACTGCAAATATTAAAAGTCAAATTTAACTGTTGGTTGTAAGAGAGGGTGAGGGAGGTTTTTTCTCTCCCATATTGTCCATATCAATTGTATTAGTATACAAATAAGATGGTATAGACGCTCTTGTGTTGAATTACCACGCAGATCCCCTGCTGTGACGTTGAGGCTCCATTGTCTGTGCACTTGAACTCAAATGCGTAGTTTGTCTTGATGCAATAAGTAGGGTTGTGCACGAGAACTTCATGACCATTTTCATTCAAGAAAAAACAGTCAGTCTGACCATGATTGAGAGGTGCCAGGCCTCCAACTAGTCGATAGCACAGACGTGATAAAAGGAACACGAGAAAGCTTTAAACATTATTGACTCAGCCGACACCACTCATAAATTCTCATAAATTCAAGAGAAAGATCAACCAAGCATCATTTAACCCTGGAGGGCAGTTTCTGCTATGTCGCCATGTCCTAAACCTTTGCATATGTATATTATAAGTTACACATAATAATAGTAATTTTAACGTTGGATACCATAAGTGCACCTGTTTGGTAAACTCACCTGCAAACAACATTTGCATGAGAACGAGGTGAAATCAACCTAAAACAGCTATATAAAAGAAGTCTAAATCTCCTATAACCCTCACATATGAGTATTTCCACCCTCGTCCGTTCCCATTTCTCACGATGTCGGTCCGCCCTGTTTTGCAGGCGACGTCCAATAAGAGCGTCGCTTTTTATCAATCTACGCGCCTAGAGCCAATCAAAAGCGTGCTAATGCTTCCCCGTGACGGAGCAAAACCCCCGGACACCCTCCCTCTCTCTCCTTCCCCGCGCCTCTCCCCTTCTGTGGAGCCGGCTCTCAGTGCGCGCTGTGCGGATGGACCTGATGACACTTTTGGTTTTGTCCTGGACGCGCCTTACGAGTGATACGTGTGAGTACTGGGTCACTTTTAACTACTGAGTGGATCACAGGCGACAATTTCACAAGTGGGCTACTTTGTTGTGATTGTGAATTAAATTGTGTCAATAGTAGGCGATAGTACACATTGTACAGTCAGCGGGAGAGGATGAGTAACTTTTTGCGCATAGTTGACACATAGCCTGCTTTCTTAAACTGTAGCGCTGCTTAAATGAGCGGAGTTACAGACTGTGTCCTGAAAGTCTGATAAATGATGCCTATTATTTTGCAGCTGAACAATGCGCCCCGGCTTTGTGTGGACCATCTGTCATTGTATCGACATTACAGCAGCAGCTCCCACTCCCAGGAATCCACCTGAAGCGCCTCGGCGGGAGCCCACACCCGTCTATCGCCACTGACTGTGACTCACAATGAGCTGCGTCTGTCTGAGGATGGTGCGTACACACTCACGGCCACCAGAACACTCTGCCAAAGAGCCACGGCACATGCCAGGTGCCTTGTATTAGAACATGTGCTGTTATATCATTATACAGGCTGGGAGAATAGGCAGTCAATTTGTATTTCGTGTTATTTCCATTCACTTTGGAATGGTGGTTAATTAGAATAACATGTCACACCATGCAACCTACATTCAGTAGCATTTAACCTTATATTCCTGCCTGTCTAAGTAGCTGAGGCCAGCCTATTCAATAACACTTTACAAAATACCATGCCTAGTCTTACAGTGTGCAATGCCAAGCACTAATATGCCTTAAGGTTAATGAGGTACTCTACATAAATTCTTGTACCATCTGGGTACGTCTAGACGCTTAGGGCAGCACTACTGTTTGACTGACTGATTATAGTTGGACCCCTCTAACTGATGGGGAACCACACCTTAAGCATAATGAAGTATATGCATTTCCATATACGTTTATATGAGAATTCCAGAACTGTGTGACGTGGCAAGGTCCAGAGGTCTTGGTGTAAAAAGTTTAGTTTTACATAAAATCAATTATCACAGCTCTTGTTGGAATTAATGAGATCAAACCTGCTAAATCTGGTTTGGTCTAAGTTCCACACATGGTTAAATTAGTGTCATGCTCTAAGTAAGTATAAGTAAGTAAGTAATCTTTGTTCATATACCGCCTTTCACAGACCAGAGTCACAAAGCGGTTTACATTTGTCAATTTTTTGTACATGAAAGATGTTTGTGAAGACATAATATCACAAACTTTTATAAATGCTGTAGTGGTCCTGCAGAAGTCAACTATGTTGTGAATGGAGTACAAATAGGCTTAGTCTTGGTCAAAATGAACTTAGAAGTAATTTACTTTACATTTGTCCTGGAAGAGACATGCAGCAGAAAAAAGAGCAGAGCAGGCGGCTTTAATTGAGTTTGAGTTAGTCAAGCAGAGACCAGCTTCAGTGGGTGAATGAGGTGAAGCCGCTGTCTTCCTGCTGCTATAATAGAAGTGCTTATCTTATCATCTGTTCAAACTGCGATCAGTTCATTATCATGTGATGGGTTTGATCAGCAGTAACCTGCAGTTATGTGTGGAGGCAACCTGCCTTCACCCCAGGCTGTCTGGCTCACATTTGGTGTACTTCCTTCTAGGACAGATAGAAGGAACAAATTAAACATTTTTATTGTGTGGAACTGCGATCAGAATCATCAGGGAGTCTCATCACACTTCTCCCACCATCACACAGCTCCCAATAGACACACAGTTCTCCTGCCATCCACCACTGAACAAACAAATGAACAGAAAACATTCTTTTTAATGAGCATGATGCCATCATGACCATCTTTTTTGTTCAATCCAAAAAAGGTTTATTGAAAAAGAAAGATACAAAATATTATATACAAAATCCAAAAATATATGATGTGTTAACGACACATTTGTGTCCTAATACACAATGTTATATGTCGTTATTTTTGTTTGTATTAAGCAAAAGACTGCCTTGAGATGAGTAGCTGTGTGCACATTAGGCTCAAAAGCGAGTGAAGACCGGCTGACCTCTGACCGCACGTCTGGCCACAGCCTCAGGTCTTAGGCCAAGTACTTCTCCAAAGCCTATTGGATATTGGTGATCACATGACATGTGAACTCTATGCACCCGAGAAGACAAAACAAGAGCTTTGAGTTAATTAACAAGGTTTTCCTTTGGAGTATGTGTGTGTGTGTGTGTGTCTGTAAGTGTGTGCGACTGTGCGTGTGTGTGTACGTGTGTGTGTGTGTCGTGTGTCGTGTGTGAGTGAGTAGAGGGTTCTGTCCTTGTTAGACGTTGACTTTAGGGAAATGTTACACTTATTAGGCCGGCTCACTGGGTCATGCATAAAGCGGCACATAGCACTTTATGGTCAGTGCTCATAAATGCTCAACATGCCGTAATAATTTGATTTCATGATGTATTGCTTTTTATCCCAGAAGCTTGCACTCTTCTATCTTGAAGTTGTTATGGCTCTTTGCTTACTTGAATCCCAGCCTATCTCAGGTCACTGCATGTTGTCCCTACAAAAAAATTCCCTATGGAAATGTTGGAATATTTGCTATTGTTCCTAAAGGAAAGGGGGCTTCGGTGTGGATGTGGGGAATGCCAGGAAATGACAGGCATTCTTTGTAGAGTGATTGAAAATAAACTTGTGCAGGGTTCTGCTTTAGCTCTCGACTAATCTATTTCTCAATTACAATACTATTTTGTAGTAATCTAGTTCTACTACTGCTGCTACTACTACTACTACTATTACTTCTGCTACGGCTGCTGCTACTAATACTACCACTGCTACTACTACTATTACTTCTATTATAACTACTATTACTGCTAATACTACTACAACTACTGCTCCTTTCTACTACTCCTGCTTCTGCTGCTATTGCTTCTACTAATACTAACACTAATACTACTACTAATAATAATAATAATAATGATAACAACAATACATAGATGTGGTCTTATCACTGCTTGTGGAAACATGGCTGGCTGTTTAGGACCAAACACTTTGCTCTTAAGGCCACAATTTTCCGAGGGGCCTGTGTTTTCCTCAATAAATACTGACTAAGATACATACTATATAACTTTCCTGTAAGAGCTGGATTTAGTTTTTTTTTCCTGCCACTTGTCCTCATTTTGCCTTATCTTTGGCTGTAGCGGTTCTCACTCCAGGCTGGTGTTCTGGCTCTGCCTTTATGAGGTGTGACAGCAGGGTCCGACTGTCGAGGAGCGATGGTGGTACTGGAATGTGGAGCTTTACATTCACTGAGCTGCGGTCAGTTATGGAAGGAACTTAAACTGGCCTCTATACAGTACCAGCTCTTATACAGGACTGCTTTCATACTGCTGAGTTGGCATAACGGAGGGAGGGGGGAAAGACTGGCTTCCTTAACTTTAGAGTTCTTTAATTGCACACATGCAGTCAGTAGCTATTAGAAGGGACGAAGGATAGATGATAGGAAGCAGGTGGGTATTTAAGGTTTCAAGGGTTTAAGGGAAAACGGGCAGTTTAAGCGTCTACGGTAAATAAGACTGCTGAACTGTTAATGCACATAGTGAAGCACTTATCTTGTTACTTTGTATTTTTAATTGGATTTTGTTGTGAACTTGCTCTTTGTGGTCGATCCACTGTACGCAAGGTTTTATTTATTCATTTTGAGGAAGGCATAGAAGACCACTGCCCGCAACTGGATTTAAACTTTAATGCAGCATTCACACTGGTTTGGTTCACGACTGGACCAAGTCTGGTTCACGACTGGACCAAGTCTGGTTCACTCGAACTGGACCAAATTTGGTTCGTTTGCAGAAAAAAGGCTACACAGATCTGTTTCAAATTATGTAAACTGACTTAAGCAGACACATGCTCACTTGTTTGTTAGATTTAAATTAAAAGATAAAGTATTGTTGTATGTCACCACATAACATAGCTGAATTATGCCCTTTTTATCAGCTAAGATTTGCAACTGTAATTTATTTTAGATTGCCCCTTTGCACCACTCTATATTTGGTGCCTTTAGTCTTAATTGCCGGGTCCGTCCCTCCGTCTTTTTGCCTTCCCAGCATGCCTCTGGTTGTTCCCGGGTATGTGAGTGTTGGAGCATGCCGAGTCCCGGTGAGACAATGGCAGTGTGCCTGAATGACAGAGAACAGGGCAATGTGCCACTCGCGTTCACAAAGGGCCACCTCCTTCACCAGAGCGTAGAACAAATAAGTACCTTTCTTTTTCTGGTGTTTAACAAGCGCCAACAGTCCAACTTTTGTTCTGGAGGAGGAGTTGTCCACTTTATTTGTGTGAAAAGAGAAAATTGTTTCTTATTGAGGAGTAGTTTTGCACAATTACTGTAGACTTGTTAAGTCCAAATGCGCGAGTGAACTTTAATTTTCTTGGCAATTATTCAAGGTGTATAAACTTACACTTGTAAGCCATTATCACATGGTTAAACACGGATTTAAAAAAATAAAAATAGAACTGTGATCATTTACTTATTTTTTGTACTCACAATAAATCATCAGTCTCCACATTGTTTTCAGCCATGAACATATATCATAATAATGATATATATAATATTATAATAACATTCAACTAAGACACACACCAACCTCTAACAACTCCAACTGAATCTGTCCCTTTGGAGCACAAACTAATTATTGGGTTCGTTGTGAAGCTGAGGTCCTGTAGTTTGGGCCTCTAATCACTCATTTACTCTTATTATAACTAGTAAAAATGTCTGTATAGAGAAAGATCAAAGTCCGCCTACATTTTACATGGTAAATAAAACTCAACTGTTTTGAGTTATAAGCACCGTTCACAGTTTAGGAAAATGCACTGGAAATAAGATTTAGGGACTTGCAATAAAGCAAAAAGTTCCAGGTAGTCCCCATGTAAGTAGACTATTTTTTTGTCCATACAAAAGTTCATTCAAGCTGGTTCAGGTTCATCCCAGAATGTTTGATTTGACTCTAAATTTGAGGGATACATATTTTGCATTTCCAAGAGTGTGTTGGTTATACTTAACCAACAAGAAAATATATT